CAAAGACCTTTTCCTGGTTATATCTTGACATGAGTTGGTGACCTCAAATTCTTTATTCAGTAGCTCTCATAACATCTTTAAAACTGTGGGGCACTGAAGACCAGAGCAACGACAACGTTCTTGTTGCAATATTACGTACGCAATATTCAATCGGTACGTATAGTAAAGCTACCTATTGATAGGCAATCAATAGCCCAGGCATCTTCCTTTGATTTGCGTCTCTGCATAACTCTGGTTAGTAATTTAATGTATTGTTGCAATGTCTTTCATAGACCGAAGTTCGATTTCCCATTTACTTTATTGCCTTTTTTAATTTAATTAACAGTATCTCACTCTTAATGTATGTTGCTTTGTGCCAGTTCACTTGGTTTGGTTGTCATGCCATGGGCCCTTAATAAAAAAATCTGAAATACATATAATATATAAGATTATGTTTGTCGGAACTTGTTTTTTTCTGGTCAATTCAGAACCTTATCTGGTTTTGTTAACCTTACAAATTACTTGAACACCAGATGACAATAAATCTTTCAGATAATTATCTAACTTCTGACGATGTCTTTAATCTATAGCATTGAGGCCCCTTCTACTAGGCTGTTATTTAACGTTGGGGATGGTAATAATGCTGTAATCATAAAAATTAAATAATTTAAACCTTATGATTTCGCGTATATCACTTAGGTTTTAAATATACATTATTTAAATTCATAAAACATTTAAATACTAAACGAGGTAGATGAATATAAACGAATTATATAAAGTCAAATAGACATTCATTAACTGAATAAATTGGTTCAAATTGTGTGGTACTGTTTTTAATTAATACGAAATAGTTTACAGGTATATAAAATAAATTTAAAGGGAATTAATATATCCAGGAATTATTCACTGAACAACTTCACTAATGATATAAAATAAATAAATGTGTAATATTAGTTTTTAAAATTAAAGCAATGATGAGCTCACTCTATTAAATGAAACCTTAAATTAGAATATAGAGAGTAATAAATTTAACGATTCACAGAGGGTTCGAACTTGCAAACTAAGAAATATGACTTTCCAGCTGCTTTGTACTATTTGTGTTTAATGATATCAAGATATATTTCTTTTAACGAAAATAATTATGTAAGAAAAACTGCGAAACTTACTTATATTTATACTATAATAATAAGAATTACATATTAAAACTTATAATCTACCCCTAAGACTACATGATTACCCTAATGTTAGTATAGCAATACTATTCAGAGTGGTGTCAGGAATCTTCTGGTTCACATGGCTTTGTGTTCTTTCCGCGAAGTCAGCAGCGTCACTCGTAATATGATATCTTATCCATACAACGATGTTGCCCTGGCGATGTTCATTTAATTTTTGACATGTTGCGCGTACGTAACAAAAGTAAAAATATTTTCAATACTGCGAGATGACACTGGATTTTTGAAGGTTTTTTTATATTAAAGTTTTAAATTGTAACCCTTTAGTGGATGGTCTAATAGAGTCATTATTACAGAATTGTAGACATTACTTCAAAAATCAGAAGATACTGTTTTTCAATATTTCCTTAGAAAAAGTTTGCATCATCAACAAACAAACAGTTTCTAGGTTTGCTGTTTATAAATATTGAAAACAATCGTATTTAAGTATGAAGATGTTGAAGCGGTCGTTGTTTAATGAAATCACCCCATACTTAGGGCACAGTACAGACGACTGTTTTATAGCCTTTTGAAATTTTTAAACACTAAGTGTTTTAGAACAACCTTATAAATTTTAACGTAAATGTGCGAATGAAGTGTGCTATTAAGGTATTTCATTATTATTTGTTTTATATATTTGCTTTAGCTAAACAATATGTAAAGTTTTGTATACATAATTATAATCATATGACTTTCCATATTGAGATGAACTACTCAACTAATTCTAGCTTAAATTACAAGGTGCAAAAATTTAAAATAAAGAAAACAGTTTCTAAATATCTGAATGAAGAAAGTATCCTTTTGAAATCATGACTTACGTCTCAGACCATTAAATTGACTTACATAGACTTAAGTTTCTTGTTATAAGATGTCCATTTTCCTAAGAAATAGTCTTTTATTTAAAAGTAATAAACATATACTAGCTTAAAATTAATATACATATACTAGCTTAAATCGTATTAATGAACTCAGTAATTTGATGTTGTTCAATTAATTCAAATGACATCGGTAAATGTCATTTAATGCATGTAACATACAACTTTGTTACCGGTAAGTTCTCACCGCATACGATCATGACATATGTAAGTTCTCAGTTGTTAATATAGTTTTAAGTGGTTCCACTCATTAAGGAAATTCACCATTTACAATTTATGGCTATTTACATTGGTTATTACTATGAACTTAAGTAAAAGGGATGTTATGTTTATAAATCATATAAATTACTAATGTGAAAGATAATCAGGGCATAGTTTTAGAAAAGGCGTAATTGCTCTTACTTGCTTTAGGTAAATCAAATCCAAAAAACTTTTAAATTTTGAATAAATAACACAAAACAGAAATATATTTAGGTAACATATAGTTTTTATATAACTAATCGTTGTAAATTTGTATTAAATAATAAATATAAGTAGAATAATTATTATACATTTAATATTTTAACGACGGAATATATATCAGGTTCAACTTATTTATTACCCATACTTATATGCGCTACAAACTGGTTTTAATATTTGAGATCCTCTAAAAGCTTCTGAAGTTTATTTCTCAATAGAAGTTATTGAATATTGAAAATGTAACAGGTTATTGAATGAAAACAATTGAAATAAATAAAATTGTTGTAAATTATGACATAATTAAAATATTAATATATTTTCAGTGGTATTTCCGAATATATAACAAAAAAACAAAGCTGTTTTAGGCTTAAAACAATCTTAATATCTGTATTTATAAATTTTTACTAGAAGACCCGGCGAACTTCGTTTCGCCCTATAATCAAGAAATATCTGTTACGTTTTTTTATTTATATTTTTGGAGTTTACCTATTAAAGCCATAAATCTCCGTGTTTTGAAGTGATTAGGAATGATTAATAGTTAATATGAGAGTTACACTGAGCTAGCAAAATAATAATTGTCAACGTTACTACTACACTTGATGCACAAACAATAACGATGGCCGACAACTGTGTAGGGAGTGAGAGAAGTCTAATTGTGTGAGAGAAACAGAAGACCGGCTTCGTTCTCATCCCTACTCCGTGCTGTTTACTGGGTCAGAAGTGACACCTGTAGATATCTGGCGGGGATAACTTATTAAATGACGATTGATCAGTTATCGACCGGAGATGAAAAATGATTAAATTACTAAAATAGCTATTAAAAAATAAGGGTTGATCGTAGAAGGGTGAAAATTTAGGATTGTATGTATTTTTGTACGTTGTATCATAAAAAAATAGTAATTAAACATTTTGTCTAAAAAATAAAAAATAAAAATTTAGGGGTGGACTACCCCTAACATTTAGGGGGATGAAAAATAGATGTTGGCCGATTCTCATAGCTACCGAATAAGCACAAAAAATTTCATCAAAATCGGTCAGGTTGTTTCGGAGGAGTATGGGCACGAAAACTGTGACACGAGAATTTTATATATTAGATTATAATATATCTGTGCTCATACACAATATTCACTTAAGTGAGTTAACCTATCACATTCACAAATCTTAGATCTGAGAGTTAATAAGGTAAATATTAGACGTATTTAAAATAACAAGTTTAATAGGATTTCTCATAACAAATATATTGAGAAAGTTATGTGAAGTAAATTAAAAATGTTTTCTAATTATTATATAATAAGAATGCCTTTGATATCAGGAAAGTAATGGATAATCAATACTAGATTAGAAATTAAATTGTCTCCCTATTAGAGTACATCGTTAACACTATGAAATATCATGTTTAATAGATAAATATAAAACATTATTTTTTGTGTTCAAAACCTTCAATATCCTTACATTTTACAATAAATTATAACACTACTTATATCACGACTGTTTTATCTTTAACAAATGTTTTAAAATCGATACCAATTATTTAGTCAAAAACATTTAATTAGGTCACATACAGAAACAACGCTATTTTCCGGTTAAAATGTAACTATTTATTTTCGGAACTCATATGTCAAATTATTATTAATATGTACTATAAAATTATCTTTATATATAAGAATATCGATGTATTTTAGAAGCTTCAGACTTTTTTGTTTCTATTTTTTAAAATAAACTTACTATATTAAAATACATTTCGCTACTCGTCTGATATTTATACTTAATTATAAATTTTCTCTAATAATAATCTGATGTAAACTGTCTTCTAGTTTTCAGTTAGAAAAATACAATCTGTTAAAATAATAGTTTCTTTACGATTTTCCGTATGATTATCACACTTTAGTAATCTTAAACTAAACTAAAATCCGTAAATCTTAAGGTTATATTACTGGGATAGAATTTAAAATATTCGTATCAATTAAAATCGATCATTGTATTTTTCTTCTGATACCTCTGTAAAGGCTTATGTAAGTTAAGAGAAATAAACATTATATTACATCCAATACTGCATCATTTCTTTGGCAGAAATGCCAAAACTGTAGCAGCTTATAGAACATGGTGATTTGTATTATTCTTTTAAATATTTTGCATAATATATTTGTAGACATAAATTTTATGTGTTTTTAGAATGTATTAACATAATATCACTTTGAAATTAATTGTTGAAGTTGATGTTTAATTCTAATTATATATTCTACGATGATAATTTTAAAAACAATTTAAAAACTTTTATAAGTTAAAATTTATATTTCAAGACTATAAAGCCTTAAGCCTTATATTTCATAGAAAAATTTATTGTTATACAGGTAGACACAAAACTCTGACATTCATAGAGAACTTTAATATAAATTCCCTGATTCGTCTTTGTTAATCTGTCGCAGATAGTTCGTAGTGAGTGGCTGGTGCGTCGTGTGAGTGGTAGGGTGTGGTGATGGAGTTGGTAATATTGAAGGCTAGAGCCCAGCTGAATCGTCTCGTGTCGAGTGAGCGGCGAGGCGTCAGGGGGGAGAGGGGGAGGGGGGCCGAGGGGGCAGCCGGCGCGCGGTCGTCGGCGCGCGAGCGCGGCATGGCGCCCGCCCGACCAGCGCCGGCGACCGCCGCGCCCTGGCTGAACGCCACGCTGGCATACAACCTCACCCGCATCAACGGAACCTTTGATACCGATTACGAACTACTCAACGCCAGCACCACCGATGAACACGACAACCACTGGTTCTGCGCTAAGTGGACCAGCGCCCAGCAAGACCTATTTCAGGTTCGTTATGTTTTGAAATTATCACTAGCATTTTTAAACAATAAGTATATTTTGATTTTGACCAATAGGTATATTGATTAAAATCAATTTCAAGTTGCACCATCTATGCAATGAATTAAAAATTGAGTTTTAATTTTTTATTCCTGATGATCTAATGTAGCTATATACCAAGGACTTTTTTTTTATCTATAATGGAATATTCGTCTAATATAATGGAATACTAATTGAGGTTAGTTATTTTTGGGATCTAGTAACAAAAACTAATGCAAAATATGTACCTTTTCTTCATAGTACTGACTTAATATCACTGAAGATTGGGGGTTTTGGTTTGAATGCATACACGTCTTCAACAAATAAGCGAGGCAAATAAAAAAATCATCTTCCTTAAAATCAGTGCATTCTTATACACAATTGGGTTTTGTCAAAACAATAAAAATTAATTTTTGCTCTCAATTTTCATTAATACATTATATTTTACAAATGCAGATTTATGCGAGAGAAACTGTTTTAATAGAACCAAGGGAAAAGATCGCTTGAGACAAGACCCTCTTACGTTTTAGCTTTCACTCTAATTAATTAAAAAGGAACTCAAAGAATTTTAAAGTTTTAGAAATTGCAATATTACGTTGCAAAGATTTTAAAGTGGTTCGTTTCGCAGTGGAATTTAGTTATGAGATCAGTTTAACTTATCTTTTATTTAAGACTTCCTTTTAATATGTATTTTTCAAATTATTTTTACCTGAAAGTATTCTAGATATAATGATTATTATTATAATTTATATTTCTAACAAGAACAAATGCAGGCTTTTGACATAAAGAACTGTTTCGTAGGCTGCAAATCTTTGCTTCGCGATCGCGTTTCTTGCACCGAAGAGTTTCAAGCAGAGCATCTTGGTGCTACGCGCGCTAGCAGCCGCGGGTGCAGTTTTGATGGGCATGTGGGCCGGCGCAGAGGTTTGCGCACCAGACGTCCTAGCTTGGAGTTTGGCTCTTGTTCTAGTCAACTCCATACATACCATCTTCTTAATAATAAGGTATACTAACGTTAAGGTTGTTTCCCGTTCATATTTTTATTATTTAAATAGCTTAGATGCATTAGATGATTAGTATACTAGAGTAACTAGATTTATCATAGTGTCATGACGTTTTGGTTAAGATAAATTCTTTAGTGACACGAGGCAATATAAATATGTACACATAGTATTCCGGTCCCTAGTTTCCTATATCATGTGTGTTTTACGATACATTTTCTCAGGTTTCTTCCACCGGCGTTGTCATTAGAGCTGACAGATTTATACCTGAAACTATTCAAGCCTCTGAAAGTGAATAAGAAGCACTTTCAGGAGTTGACTCGTGAAGCGCGTGTCATCAGGCTTGAGCCGGGCGAGGCGTACGCTGTCGAAGAAGTCACGCCTGCGGACGAAAGACTGTCGATATTATTAAAGGGAAAGTATGTACACCATGAATTAGATAAAGTATCGATAAAAAGAGCGATAACTCTTCACTAACTGTTTATGTTTATGCCGAAATTGAAAAAAAGTGCTCTCAAGCAGAACTAAGTCTAGCTTAAAGCAGATTGTGACAACATGCCGGTGATAATGTCTCTCATATCCTAATTTTCATATTCATCGATATTGGGATGCATGAACTATTTACTTTAGATTACACTGTTTACTTCTGCTCTTAATGTGAGAGCAGCATTAAAGAATTATTTTTAGGATGTTATTCAACTTGAAAGGTTTTAAAATGATTCATACATAGTATATAGCATTATTTCATAGTGACTGTTTTTAAGATCGTTACGATGAAGAACACTCGTTAGTTTTTAATAAAATCTTAGATTTTCTGACGAGTACTCTAGACCGCACAGATAGTGTAGTAGTATTTATTGTTCTTAGATTAGTAATTAAGTCTCCGTCCTATAGAGGATTTGTTCGAAATTGTTTGAGTAGTCGTAAACAGTTATAGTAGATAGTTCGACCGCACTGGGTTCGGTCAAACAAATGTACAGAGGTGAGTTCGGACACTTTAATTCCTCGATCACGCGACAAAACAGCTATTTAAGGTCTAAGTGGAGAGTCATCACGTGAACCGGTCATATTAACATGAAACAATTACAACAACCATATTTATGACAGCGTAATTAATGTTTATTTTAACATTTAATTTAATAATTATAATAATTTAGTTAATTTCTTGCAGGTTAACATTATTGCTTTGAAATGTAGTCCGAAAGATATTTATTTATTTATTGTTTAAATTGTGTAGGTATTTTTATAAAATGACTATTAATATAAAGTCGAAACCAAATTTGATGGCTTGTTACGCCTCCATGCAAAGACTGTGCACCCAAGTGCACTGAAACAAATCTTTGTATGAAAGATATCAAGTAGGAAATTCAAAGGAATGTTACTATTTATCTAGTCAAAAGAAACATAATATATTTCACAAGAGCCTAAATGTGTCTAAAGTTGGTTCAGTAATATATTGGATTACATCACTACACGTGGTGTTCGCGACTGAAACTGGACCGTTTCATACTATTACATAATAAAGAATATTAATGCTCTATAGAACAAAAGTAAGCGAACACATTAATTAATTTCACTTTATAGTTGACTATTGTTTGTATTATTCAAGTATATTTTGTAAGTTCAAATGTAAATAACAATTATGCAACATTTGCGAAGATGTAGTGAAGTGGCTTGCTATTTTACTGCACGTTACCTATAATAGGCGTAGCAGGCAATTTTCTCCGCCCACGCAAGTCGATTCGCGGTCAAAATCCATTTTGCTCCCAACTGTCTACAATCTTGATGGTCGCGACTAAGTGCTTGCCAGTTATAGTATCCTTGAAACTATTATTATGACTTCAATATATAACTAAATATTTTTTTAAGTCTAAATGTAATAGAGTAAGAATAAGTTATATTTACTTCGTGTCTGTCTTGAAGAAGAAAGTTTAATCCACACGTTTTGTTCTCAATTGATGTTTTATTTGGTCAGAATGCGAGTGAGTTGCGATGAGACCCACCTTCATTATATACAGCCCTACCAGTTTGTAGACTCGCCCGAGTGGGAAGCAAACCGTGAACAGTCTGACGACGTCTTTCAGGTAAGATGTGTTTAATGTATATACAATTAATGCATGTTCGTGTGAGCAAAGCTTTATACCATTTCAACTAAATCTTGTATCTGAGCAACCTACATTTCTTAGTTTTTTTCGCATTATATTTTCATACAATCAAAACCCTTGTTAGTCTTAAAATAGTTTTTAATTCCTGCGTATTCTAGAAGTAAGTAATTAACGAATTACCCTTCAACTTAATGCGAGTTCAATCAATCGGCCATGGTTTCCATGGTTACAAACACATTTACATGCCAACTTTTTAAGTAACATTACCGTTTTTTTCTTCGTATTTTAATATATCCATTTAGGTCGTCCGTATTGGAGGATATCGTAAATCTAGAAATTACGAAAAGCATTTAGCGAGTTTGCATAAATTATTGAATATAAATCTTATCTCATTTATTCCATTTCCACCAACAAATTAAACAGACCAAACATTCCAGGCTTTTGACCAACTAGCATTTTAAAATTGGAATAATATATTGGTTTTAATAAAAGAACCATTATGCATCAGGTTGGGGAGTTAATGACATATCTCATTGTGATTCCGCGCACGATTAACTTAAATAATTCTGAGTGAGCCATGAATAATGTATGTGGTCTCTGACGGATGGTATATCAAAGGAAATAATTGGGATAATGCCAGATTAGGGTCTTGTCGAATCTCCTATTGTAGTCTGTAAATTTATTTTTATTTCTAGACGTTTGTATAAATTTTCCTTGTAGTCCTATTTCACATTGTTTAAGAAATAACAGAATATTTTTTAAAAGAATGAGTCCTTTTATTGTGAAAGTCAGAAATATAAATAAAAGTAATGTGACAATCTATGTGTAAAAGAGGGTACAGGGTTACGTCCTTAGTGATATTCATGTGGTATCTTTAAAGAGCTTTGAAAGCGCTGCCTTTACGTTCTAGCGTGTCAGCGATTCCATTCCCTTTGGGAATATAACACGAAGATATGGTCCCGCAAAAACGACTTTATCGAATTAGGCTAATGTTCTGTGTAATTTTTTATAATTCTCATGTTTTGGATAAAAATTCTTTTTTATATTGACTCGGAAATGTGATGGTATTGCTTAGTCGTATCCTTGTGGTCACTAATGAAACATTATCTATTTGATATGAATAGTTTCCATAGTATTAAATTAATAAATACTTCACATCTACTCTCTTTCAAAGCTGAATCTAGGGAAGTGTGTGTTTATTTTCCCTTATACATATAAATGATGTACTACGCTATATTTTTAGTGTACTTTGTTGTTATCGATAACCGTGTTGGGAGCCTATTAACCTATTTTAATGTAGGTTTTTTAAATTAAAGCGAGAAATTCGAGTTTAAATTAAAAATATTAAAAATATCTGCGCTACAGGAACTTGTAATCGTTGCTTGACTTTGTCATGAGTATTATTACATATTATTTTTAATTTAGATAATTCACAAAAAAGCAATCGAGGTTTCTTTCTTTTATTTGGATAAAGGTGAATCCTTGTCTTTTACGTACAAAGTGTTTAAAAGTTTTTTTACGACTAAATAGTAACTAGATACTATAATGTATCGCTTGCTCCCTTTATTTGCGACTTTTAAATCTTGTTGTTTCTTTCTGTAATTCCTTTATAATGATTCCATTTATTATCAGAATTTCATTGGTTAGTAAGTCTTTTATAACGATTACTAACTAGGATTAAATTTTAACAATCCACTTTCACTGTACTAGTAGCAGTCTTACTTTACTGTATTTATTTTCTTAACCGGTTTTTAATCTAAGAACTTTTTTATCAATTACTTAAAATAGAAACTTAACAAAAATGGTAATAAATCTGTTTTGCACCTACCATGCATACATTTGTAATGTAATTAACAAAAACCAAAATGATATTAAGGAAAATGCTATTGACACAAAACAGCCTTTTGTATAGCGTTTATAACCTGAATATAATTTTAACCATTTAAAAAAACACAACCGTGTTATTTTTTTAATAATTACTTGCTAAAGTAATTAATAAAAAATAATCGATGTAAAATAAGCACCCTCGGAATGACTTACAATTAGATATGTTTCTATGTTCATTATGAAGCGTGAAATTGTTTCAAAACTGCAAATTATTATGAAATTACAATAGAATCTCATTTACTACTGGATATAGTAGTATACGAGATAAGAGAAGGCTACTTTCTATTTGTTATTCATACTAAATACATACAATCTCCAGTTGTTCATTCAAAGCTACATTGTTGCTATTGTACGGAGAAAATACTTAAACAGAATGTGTTTGCTAAAGTAACAATAAGAGTCATTTACTTATCAAATTTAACGATAAAATAAGAATTATATAGAAATGAATACAATCAATAGCGTTTCCTTTAAATAGTTCTGAAAAATAAGAGCATATACGGCAGAGCTTCTATGCAAATATGGAAGGCTTTTTCACTAAACCCATCGACGCTTCAAGGCTTATAAGTGTTTATTTTGGTTAAAAGTGCTGTATTTATTTTATTTAGAGTTTCATATATAATAAAGTGTTGTTGTTGACTGTTGTAAAGGTGACAGTGATAGCCGAGGAGGTATGCACGTGCGTGTGTTGGCCGCGCATGCGCCTGGAGCGGGTGCTGCGTCACCGCCCTGCACTCAAGGTCGTCCTCGACTGTCTCATAGGTCAGTCATCTCATCTCACTTTACTGTATCTTATCTGTACCATATTGTTTTACTGTTATTGCCTTTTCCGTACAGATATACGTAAGTATCAATCCGGCTGTGCGGGGTATTTGTATTTTGATAACAAATTAAATGAATTTTTAGCTGGCATATATATGTAGGGTTTTTGTTCAATATTAAGAAGTATGCTATTAAATTTGTTGAACACTTGATGCGGGATTAGTTGGTATGACGAAATGACGCGGTGTACAAACTTTTCAAATAACTTGGATGCTGAACGCTGACGGAACTTATATTACACCGGTTAAGAACACAGAATACCAATACAATAGTTGCTAGGGACACGACACTCCACACTATCGCATAGCACTGAAAAGTTCCGTAGAGTTAGACCTCTCACCACTAGCTATGATTTAATTGCTGAACTAGAGCGGCCCTTTCGTGGACAAAGAGATAAAGGAACTTGAGAAGGCACTTTCAACCTTTTCTGTGCTACGCTATTATTTCGTTTTAAACAATAAAAATTAACATGCATTACTTCTAAATTTCAATAGCTTTTATTCTACAGTGTAGAAAAAAAAATTATCCTGTGAAAAAACAAAATTTTGCAGTTTATACGATTAAAAGATTATAGTTCTATTGAACCAAAACTATTAAGAGAATCACAACTAAACCTGTGTATTAGTTTTGACCCCTTTATATCCTTTAAATAGAATTCCAATTGACCGGATATTCGATTATCCGGATTCATGTCGCAGCTCTAATTGATGTTACGTTACCTCAAAATTCAATAACAAGTTATTTCCGTAGTTACAACATTAAAGTACTTTTAGGCTTTGAACTTATTATTATTTTCTATCAATATAGATTTCAATTTATAAATATTTTCCTTTGATGCTATTTGATGTTTCTCTATGCAATTTGGCTATTAAATGAAAATTGTTTTAACGTTTGTATTACGGACTTGAAAATTACAGAATTTACGGTGAATTTTAATGACTTTTGTTGCAGTCACAAACAAAGTTGAGATAGTTATGTAAATAGTTTTTGATTTAGTTAGGATACGTCAACGGGTAACTTCAAGCAATTAAAATATTTTAGTACAAAATGCGATTTCTAATACCTTTTTTATAGCAGCTTCTTTGTAATTAAGAGCATTAAATGGTATATATTGTTTAATTAAGTTTTCTTTTGTCTTGGTTGCTTATAGAGGGTCACTTTGTATTTTCTTTGATGTATGTATGCTAGTCAGATTATATGAATTTTGTTTTAATAGCCCAACATTTTTGTGATTAATATTAACTAGACATTGATAAAATGTTCTAAAATTTCTATGACAAGCTAATTGGTTTTATTTTTATTCTTGATGTGCAAAATCTACGTAAAAATAATAAGTCCAATAGAATTTTTACATCATATAATCGTTTCAACTGATCTAAAATATATGTAAATCTTGTGTTATTAGGGTGTACCGTTAGAACACATAAAACCAACAAAATAATTTTCCGAGGGAGTGTTGTTTTGTAAAAATAAATTAAAAGCTTTTGTGACTCGAAATGGAAAATGAGTAGCAATTTCCTGGCACAATTAACGTATTTTCATTATCCTTAAGTCTTGCTTGAATAAAATACATAAAATAATTGAGTTCCATTAAATCGCCGATCGGATCTTTCACATTAAAATTCAATGACGCTGCAATACAGAGCGTGGTTGTACACCAGTTGTATAATTCAGAAAACGATTTAAAATTCACTTAAATTATATGTTTGCTCCGATGTCTCTCGATATTTTATTTTAGAATGTAGCATATTTGATCTGAACTTATATTGTCGTAAGGAAAATATGTCATCTGAAAATTTATGAAAATTTGACTATAATTCATATTTACGGAACGTTGGATATAAAAATGATAGTTATTACGATGTTGTAGGTAAAGATATAACGCACAAGCTATATTCCGTGAGTGAGGGTCTTGGGGCTGGAGCGACAGGTGAAGGTGAAGGCCCCCCTGCACACCTTAAACGATCAGCTAGTGTTGACGCCGTTCATGAAGGGGCCCGCGGTAGATTAAGGAGCCTGGCTTGGAGAGCCAGATCCACTTCTAAAAAAGGTATACTGTATTTTGTTACAATGCATCCATTACATTCGCTGAGCATCACTCTTATTGATCCCTTTAGATTTGTGAAACAAAATGAAAACGACGTAAGTAATAAATTTTCGCAAGTTCATTAATATGTCCTGTGGAAAGGAGACATAAAAGAATTACAAAGTTTAAAAGTGTACCCTATAACTACTTTACAACATTGATATTATAATCATAATGTATTTGAAACAATAGTTAGATTTTATTCTTTTAAACAATGTATGTAGCTTGTGACTTTATAGGATTATCTACCTATACTATAAAGAAATATAAACGTTTTCAGGCAGCTCATACTGGCAGCCAGTAGTCGCTCGCCAGTTCCTGAGACAGTCTCCGTTCGGTCGCAGCGTGGTGCCTCCGCGGCTGCTGGCTCAAGCATCATCCGCTAGTCTTCAGGCTCCCGTTCGTCGCAGTCCTCCGCGGCGGACGGCGTCCTTCCGCCGTAGCCGGGAGGTAAAATTCGCGGAGGTGCCGACAGACGAGCCGGCCGTGTGACGCGGGCCGCGGCCCCAGCCTGAGCTGGTGCCGCTGGTCGCGCCCGCCTGCCTCTCCCCACCGCGCCTCTCACCCCCCTGTGATGCCCCCATACTGTACCCGGCCCCCTGACCGCACGCCCCCGACGAACTACCATACACCACGGACTTCTAGTGGCAAATGGACTAGTGCTTTTCATCATCGAGGAAGTCAAGTAAAGATAGTGCTATATATTTTATAGAAAAATGAGCTTCCCATACGTGTTAAAACAATATTACGTTCGCTCGAAACGTCTTAAGTGAAACATTTAGTGCACACGGTGTGTGAAGTGTTTACCGTAGATAATAGTGAACGGTGAGGTGACTACCTTATAATATAGATAGTAATTATTGTGTGGAATGTAGATTATGTATCTCGTTAGTGTTAATGTGTTTTTATTATTATTATTTGCCTTCGAATCACTTAACGTCATCTATGATTTTGAAATGTTTAGCAGTCGGGCTATAGGAAATGACTGAGCTACATTGGTTTCTTAATGTCCTCGATTTATATATATACATACATAATATACGTACAGAATTGAGCAGTCAGATAAACTTTATTGTCGTATGAGTATAAAACGTAAAATTTTATAAAAGTTGAACCTAAAATATATAATTTAAATAAAATATATGTATCAAAGCCTAAAATTTATTTTTAATGTATTGTTGAAAATATTTTTAAGGTAGATATATAAATATAGCTGTATAAATAAATGATTATTACTTCGTGGGACTGAAATAAAATTTATAATTTACGTTTCTAAAATGAATGAAAACTGATAGGTTTTGGGGTGTAACGATTACTAAATTCGTTCATCGATTACAAAAAAATCAAACATTGGCACAATTGTCGCGTAAAGAAAATGAACATTTGTAAACATATGAATAAGTGACTATGAAGAGAGAGATTTAAATGTTATAAATAAATTAAACATGTGTATTTGTATTTTTTTAGATTGTTAGTCCAAAGAACACTTCTAAAATGTTGTTGTTTAATAATAATGAATTTAAACCTGTTATAAATTAATTTTATGTTAATTAAGTCTAGACAATGTGAAATGGTTGAAGACCTTATAATAGGCCGACTGTAACACGTATTTGTAGAAAAAAATATATATAAATGACTATGCTATTATTTTAAATACAGTATAGAAGATATGTATATGTAATCGCCTCACTTTTAGTCCCAGTGCACTTAATATTTTTTGTTATTATATTATTTTGACGTAAGCCGTGGAAAAGTTATCTTTGATAAAATAAATAAATAAAAAGACCACCAATAAAGTTATTATCGAAATTAAATCGAGCATCCGAATTAAATGAGACATCTGAAAGTTAAAAAACCGTGAGAGCTTTTTTTGTATAATCACGAAAACATTTACAAATAGGTAGTTTCACGTCATTATTTCATTAAGTCTAGCAAGGTGTCATGAAGTGTCCTTAGGATTAATAAAATAAAGTCTTGCGTACTATACGAAGATAATGATTATAATTTAAAAATTCTCTTACATATAAAACCTGCAATTATTATATGGAAGGGGATAAAATGTCACTTAAATATTTTTAAAATCGATAATTATATATTTAATTGATTAATTTTATCAATCGTAAATGTTTAATAAAATAACATATTTCCTGGACAATAACAAATCCCAGTATATTTTATTCCCAAAATTAAAGTCAATTAATTACACCGTATCATAATATAATCAGTATTTTTATCAAAATAGGTCTTTTGCTGTCATTATGATTGGCAATTTACTTTGCAGATCAATTTTGATCCCCAGAGTCTAATTCCCGATATTTATATAAAAACAATAGGTAATTCGTATCTATGATAACGTCGCAAAATAAATTATTTATATAATGCTTTTTTAAAAGAAATCCATGTTATTTTGCGTTCATTTTGTTACAGACATTTTGACAACTATACTAATTGTAGGAACATCTTTATTGATTGTAAAAAGATATTTATAAACAGGTAAAAAATTTATTGCTTCTTACTGATTTGTTATATATTTTATTCAGAATTATTGTCAACAAACATGCCTTATATTCTTAGGAAAGGGAATTTCAAAACCGATATCCTATTCCGCCACATTGCGCTATTTTTTTTAAATAATAAACAGAATATAAGTTTAAAATTAACTTCCAGATTTTCGTCTAAATAGTTTTAATATAACTATATGCTTCTCAATGTTTCGTCGTTATTGGTTACAACGAATGTCGTCGATGTATAAAATTGAAATTCAGTAAACGTAAATTTAGGTAATATAACAATAAATCAGACTGAACTGTTTTATAGAATTATCTAAATTAACACAACAGTCATTATCCACGTAAAATTTTAATAGACGTTTAATCTTTAATATTTTTCTGGATGTTATATTAGATAGAAATAGATAAGAACTCGTAATCTGATGTGTATAATAAAATTGAAAAAAAAAATCGTGTCTTTATAAATTTATGTAAAACTTATTAGCTAAGAAGATGAGTTGAAGACCAAAATTCATAGAACACGGAAACTAATGACACCGACCTGGTATCGTGATAATCACTTTGCAACTTTTAAACTAACAGAAATGCACGTCTCTAGTTACGTATCATTAAATACATTTACAACAGTTGTGTATTGATTCACTTTAAACATTGTAATGTATCACTGAACTTGTTTCACGTTAGATCTTTGTAGATGTCATTTTTCGAACGTCATCTGTATCGATGTTGTTGTTGTTGCTTGTGGCTGTACAATGTCCGAATAGTTGAGCAATTAGTGCTCATAATAACTGTATATAGTCCTCGTCGAACGTTCACTTCGACGTTCATTACATATAAAAGCCGTCTTGAAATCAGGATGCACTGTATTAAAATTATCTCACGCTTTAAAATCCTATAATATTTAAAATTACACAAAGTGTTTACGGTAATGTCCTGATTTCGTGATGTCTCTGCAAATACATATCGTTCTATGTCTTCTCTTGTGTCGTTAGTTACTTGTCTAATATAGCGAGGAGCTGTTTACAAATAACATATAACAAAGAGCTGTATGTATTACATCAGCACAGATAATAACATTGGAAGATTCTTATCAGTTCTGCCAATGTCACAACATGACACAAAGTTCGGTATCGTAATAGTAACACATGATTCCACGTAAATGATGTTGTTGGCTTCTAAATTATATAAGGCTGCATTCACACTATTATGAATGTTATCTCCATTTTTAATACTACAAGTGTGTAGGCCTTGCTTTTATGTTGTAATAAAATGTTATTGGAAAAGGCTAGTGAAATTTTGATAACTTAAAACACCTAGAAATGAAAATAAAACTTAGATATAAATGGGACAATTTATTTCTCATAATCTTAATGTTGCGAACTTAAACGTACACAATCTTTATAATGTATAACGCTTTTTAATTATTATTATTTATTATCATAACTCCATGCACGATGATCATGACGACTTCAGACGTTTTCATCATCATATAAACTTGTTAATGTTGTGAAACGTACAATCGATTCTACAAGATTTTTTCAGCCCAATGAAATACAAGACCTATTTCATATGATTATGATAAAAATCTAATATATATATATTTCTTATCTTCGTAATAAGGTCTTCCACTGTTGTCTATTAATCAGTCTTCTATAACTAATTCAAATGCGTTGTGAATTCATTATCTTCCAAACAACATGTGTTTAATTATACAATTATTCCATTTTAAATTATTTCATATAATTTAAATTGAATTTGTGTGTGGATTTATTTTTATTATGAGAGATATTTTTTGTACATTATTACATAATTATGAACCGACATAGTGTATCTTGTGTAGTAAAATGTAATGAAATCGTTATTCCTTTTTTATAATTCCAATAATTTAATTTTCAAGGTGTTACGAAAATGTAAATTTTGTGTATCCATCATCATAGCTAGCTATGTGTTATAACATAGGCCATTAAGGTGCCATGTATACATAATTTGATAGACTCCTTAGCGAAGTAAAAAGAAATGTTTTAGATGCGTTACAATTTTTTTTTTCGTATATTCAACAATTATATTTTGTAGTCTTTGATATAATTTAGCAGTCGTGCTGTCCGTCAGTTAGAACTGGTTGTTAACACAGCTTGTACGCTGTTAAAATATAACAATTTATAAACTAGCAGATATTGGCAGAGCGCCTCTGTGATACACTTTAGCTATTTAGTATAGAAGTCGTCGGATAACATATTGTGTACTCGCGATCAGTAAGCTTAGTACGAGTAGCTTTGTCAACTGAAAAACCAACAGTTTGAAGGTTTCAAATAAAGTAAAGGTAACTGTAAAACTATTGGTTTTTGGGTTGATGACGCGAACTTGATATAAGTTGTACTGATGTTCTGATTATGGGTTGCCCAGCGTCTCGTGCATTACATTACCGTTATTGATTATATATTATTGTATTTATTCACTTTATTAACATGTTTATTATATCTTTAATAAAAACAATTGCTTATTACGTATATTATTTCATGTTCCTTTGCCTCGTTACAGTATCGATATTAATATTAAACACTGCGTTCCCATTCACAACTTGTACAATAGTTTTATGCAGGCGACAAACATGAACCTTGACCCTTTCAAAGTTAGTGACGTGGTACTTAAGAAACATTTGAGTATGGTATTATTGTATAAAAATGTTAATTAATGCTCTGACAACACGATAATACGCGATAACATTCAGTTGTGTGGGACAAGTGCTGACAATATGACATGTTAATATTTCTTGGTTTTGATATAAGACTATGTGTTGATTCTACGACATGGCATTCGCAACTAGAAGATTTATTTTACTTAACTTAAGGAATTTGAAATATAGTCTGTGTTCTGCAAATACCGTAAGTTAATTTTGTTTTTTTAATTTATCATTTACATATTTGTAATATTAACTTTTTACAAGTGTGATAATTAACATTACTATATGTACTCGTATATGTATTAGGATTCAGTTATTCATTGTTGAAATAAATTGTAAATCACGTCCATTTAAACTTTTTCATTGAAAAAAAATATTTGTATTCAAAATATGTATCTTTAATTGTGAACGTAATTTATCAATTATTATGTTATTACATACCACACAAGGTTTAAGACTTTTGATAAGAGACAAAGTGGCCAAATCTTATCAGAGTAAATTTTAAACATATTGTTATCTACATAAACCATTAAACATTTTGTTTCTTTCTGATATTTAACTTCAGGGTATGCTAAAATAACCGTTGCGTTATAAAATATTCACGTAATGATTCAGTAAATACATTTATTTTATTCATATAATAATGATTTATCAAATGTGTGTTTTAATATTCTTATAAGTACCTACAATACCTAATCGTTTTTTTCTATTTCAAGTATAAAGTAAAATATACACCGTACCAACTTATATTTCTAACATTATTTTAGAGAAAAAATACTCTCAGACATTACTCAAAAGCTCTGGTGTCATTTAGAATTGATGATAAACAAAATACAAGAAGATTGCAAACAACAACCACACATAACAAGAGCGTTGCCTTCAAATTATCGGATATTGGCGAAGGTATACGAGAAGTTGTAGTTAAAGAATGGTAAGATTAGTCAATATTCTATGATAATAACATATTCTAAGATTTCACTATATATTACTAAAGGTAATTTAATGACATCGTTTTTATAAATGTTTCAGGTTCATCAAAGTAGGAGACAAAGTTCAGCAATTCGACAACATCTGTGAAGTCCAGAGTGATAAAGCAGCGGTAACAATCAGTAGCCGATACGACGGTGTAGTCACTAAACTATACTATGAAGTTGATCAAACAGCTCTAGTCGGTCAACCTCTAGTTGACATAGAAGTAGAGGATGCAGAAGAAGGTTTGATTTTATTACGTTATAAAAAGATTAATATTAGAAAAGAATTATGTGTAGTTATTTTAAAAATAAAATAAATTTCATGTTTAGATTCGTCTCAAAAGAGTGCTGCTCCTGAAAGAACTAAAGAAGTTCCGAAAACAGAAGTTAAAAGTGAACGGATCAAGGTATTGACAACACCAGCTGTAAGAAGAATTGCAGCACAGTTCAACGTAAGAATTTACTTGAATATAACATTTACAATTCTCCTATCACACGTGTGTTGTACACTTGTTGTGTTATTTTGCATTTTTTTCTTTAACTTCACAATAATAATAAAATTAGTAGTAAAACTAAATGCACTGCATTCGTAAGTTTATATAAGCAACTACTCGATACAATAGCACATTTTTTGTGTTAAAACTTCTTACGGACAAACTATACGTAACGGACAATACACATTAAACTTTCTTAAAGATTTCATCCCTATAATATTTGCGCTTTACTAGTTTCACATATACGTATATGCACATAATAAAACTTTATTTATTATTACAGGTAGACTTGATTAACATAAACGCCACTGGTAAAAACGGAAGAGTACTTAAAGAAGATGTTTTATCCCATCTTAATATGAGTTCTGATAAATCTAACGATATACCACAAAATGACTTGTCAGTTGAAGCTTTATCAATACCTGTCACAACTGGTTTTGCTAGAATGGAAACTGAAGTGGAAGATAAAATAGTTCCCATTACAGGCTTTACAAAGGCTATGGTAAAATCTATGACAGAATCTATGGTATGTTTTCTTTTAACACATTAATGTTATTTGTGTCGAAATCTTGATAAAGAAATGAGTCACTTTTCTTGTTTTTAGAAAATACCTCATTTTGTATTTAGTGATGAATACGATGTAACAAAATTAGTAGAATCAAGAGAGCATCTAAAAATTATGGCTCAAAATAGAGGAGTTAAATTAACCTATATGCCCATAATAATAAAATCCGCGTCGCTGAGTATTGCTAAGTATCCAATAATCAACAGCAGTCCGGACAGCAATTGTGAAAACATTATATACAAAGCCAGTCATAATATTGGAGTGGCGATGAATACTCCCAACGGCTTAGTGGTGCCAGTTATAAAGGTAAATATTTCTATTAAATAACGAATGTTTTAATAATGTAATAAGAAAATAATCTGTTATAATATGTTGTAGAACGTTCAAAATAAAAATATTATTGAAATAGCGAGAGAACTGAATTCGCTCCAAGAAAAAGGCTCTAAAGGACAACTTGGCTTTAATGATCTAACTGGAGGAACGTTCACTATTTCAAACATTGGAATTGTAAGTAAAAAATAATTTATTTTTAACATAAAATTTAGATATAGAAATTATAATGTGAGTTATATAAAAAAAATACCTATTAAATTTTGTTTAAAATGCTCTGTTGAAAAGCTAAATAATAAAAAAAAACTTTTATCGTATAATGTATTATTGAAACAAAACATATATTTTTAGAATTATTAGGCATTCTACATAGTATTCTATATTTGGAACGAGCTTTGCGATTCTTTTTCAGAAAACGTTATCACTAAACGACCAGGCAAAATATATCAATCGTGTTTTTGTTAAGATTTTAAAATTTTGTCATGTACAGAAGAGCTAATTGTATTTTGAGTTGCAAAAAAGTGCTTGCAATTTGTGCTGGAAATAGTACTTAGTAATTCTGAAAATACTTTTCTAATTGAAGAGTAACCCGTTAAAAAGGTAGAATAATAAAATTTGCGACTTGAAACCGAAAAATATAATATTATTTCAAAATGTTCTCGTCAAAATTTTTGATATGGTAAATAAATAACTTTATACGTTTAGAAACCTAAACTCAAACGGTCTACAAAATTAAATTATAGACTTAATTTGTAATATCGGTTTTTAAACTATTTTCAGGTTGGCGGAACTTACACAAAGCCTGTAATATTTTCTCCACAAGTGGCAATTGGTGCTTTAGGAAAGATTCAGGTAAATATTTTATTTTTAAATTCTTTTGACTTCTTTTATAACTTATATACCTACTCTGATTCTAGGCAATTGTTTTTACATTGATAAATTTAATCCAATCAATAATTAAAATACTTAAAGATTATAAAATTATAAAGATGCGTATATTTTCAAATTCCAATCTAGATTTTAATCCACATAAAAGAAAGATTCATACATTACTTATACATTAGAGATATGGGTATATTTCATACAAATTAAATTTATTTAAAGATTCACTTCTGAACCGTTTGTTTTCAGGTTTTGCCTAGATTCGATTCGGAAGGTAATATAGTAAAGGCTCACATATTATCTGTGAGTTTCGCAGGTGACCATAGAATTATCGACGGTGTCACTATGGCAAGTTTTTCGAATCAACTAAAGGAATATCTAGAAAACCCACAAGTACTACTTTTAGATCTGTGAAAATTTGTTAATTTTTTGTATGCTGGTCAACAATAAAAATTATATATTTTGTTAATTTTTTTTTTCAAAAAACTGTATACAAATATATTTTTTTACAAACATTAGATCCTTTTTACATGTCTATCGTCTTAAAACTTCAAATCTTGTTACTTTAAAATATGCTATGGTCCATTCAGGTATACAATGTGGTGTATATTCTCGATGAAATCGAGCAAATATTTCTGTGAAGATCAGTGCATCTATGTTATTTATAGGAGCCCATTTTAATGCTAAAAATGCCATATCCACGTCGCAAAATTTTTTATCTAAAAATTAAGACATTTATTACAACAACAAACAGTTGACGTTATTTTTACTAAGTAAATTAAAAGAACGTACCAGCTATCCTTATAAAATACACTTTTCTTGGTGACGATATTTGTATATCTTCTTTTTTTAAAGCTAATAAACGACGTTGCTTTTCACCCCAATTGAGATCTAGTTCTCTCAGCAGACTTAAACGAGCAGCTTTCGTAAGCAAACCATTTAATTCTTCTAACTGTCCATGGCTTATCACCTCTGTGACGCGAGATATTGCCTGGGATAGTAAATAATTTAATATTATTTTAATTAAAGGAATTGTTTATGAGTAATTGTTTAGGAATGACTCTAGTAATAAAAATGTACCTGTTTTGTAGCAAACTTAAACTCTTTTTCCTTAAACGCAGGGTCCCAAACATGTCTCAACACACTGAAGTCTATTTTAACCATCAACCAACTGAACGGATTTTGTATTAGTATAAGCTTAGGTATTCGCTTCTTGTAGCCTTTCGGTTTGTCTTTTCGACGAAAAGAAAATGCTCTTTGACAATCCTTTAGAAAATTAAACTTTAATCTAGATTCACTAGAATTTTGAATAGAATTTTCATTTCTTCTGGATTCGAGTGATTTAAATGCTAATGAGAGTTCATTCTTAATTGAGGTAATGTTTCGATCAGGGATGATTTGGTATGTGAAGGTTTTCAGATTAGATGGACATTTGTACTTTTTTAACAAAGTTTCCTTCACAGCGATACGCGTTGCAAGCGGCCAGAAAGCTTTAGCAAAATGTTTTGTCGCGCAAAGCATCTGAAGTACAAAAATTAACTATGAATCCTATTACAAATAAAATTTTTAAATGATAAATGAGGTTATTTTTTAATTTATCCTAAGTAGTTTTACACAACTTTTAAAATAAGATGAGATGTATGAGGGTCTACAACTTACCGTATGAATTTTGCAACGTTATCGCATATAAAAAAATTAATTATCTTATAAAAAGAATTAATACTTGTAATTTTTCCATGTTTTTAACTAAAAAAATAAAATGTCAATTGAACGTAAAAAATGACATAGGGTGACGGATTTATAAATGAATTAAAGAGTATTGAACTTTCTAATAATGTTACTTTTTGGTAATAAGGCATGTATATAAAATATTTTTTTGTGAAAAAACTTTTTAACTTTGTTAAAAATAACTAGATGATTGTGAATCTGATCATTAAAAGCGGTAAGTAAAATATTTAAACTTATGAAGGCGAGAGAAGGAAAATCACTGGAATAAATGACGATAAAAACTTAGGAACTTCTAAATCTAAATTTCTTTTTAGGTTTAAAAAAAGCTTTGGTTGAGTTGTTCTGTTTTGTTCTGTTCTTATTTTTATTTGCGTACATGGTGATGAAATAAGCCATTTTCAGCGGGAAGACAATCATTCTTGGAAGCCTGATACGATAGTTCTCTAAGAACGACTGGCATAAATTTGTTTGTGTACTCGTAATAAGCGTAGATATGTATAAGTGAGAGTGATATCAATTAATGATTTATTGTTATCACTCATTGAATCCTCGTATTTAGATAAAGGAATAAGTTTTAAAATCTTCCAAGTGCATATTGTCTTACATAAACAATTATCTCAGAGATAAAAGTTTCAGTAATTAATAATTAAATACAATATAACGTAATATATCTCAAAACGGTGGTATTTTTAGCACCGCCTCATTTTAGTCAACGTCATACATTCTATCTAACTGAATAACTTCCTATACAAAAGGTGTTATGTAGGTGTTATTCTATCATGTATAAACAAAATATCTACATATATGTACTTCTAAATCGGCCTGTACACCTAAATCGCAAACAAACAAATGACGACCATTCACTCTTCTGAACTCTGGAGTTTCTGTTTAATTTATAACATCTTCCAAAAGAGCAGATCTTTACCATGACCTTAATCGGCCAAAATTTTTGATACTTTATACAATTTACATACTTGTAGTTGTTCAGTTAGTTTCCCTTTCTTTGATTTTTTGCCCCCAGTAATAATTGCTTCAGAATTAAACTCATATCTTTAGAAAATCTTATGACTTATTTATAATTAATAATTTAACATAATTTATAAAAACTATAAAATCTCGAACTAAAAGAATAAGAAGATTGATTGTCACTTTTATATATCTATAATGCATAAAGTTTTTAAGTCAGTGGTGGCCTAGTGGTTAAAGGGCCCGCCTCTAGGGCACGAGGGCGAGGGTTCGATCCTGGCAAGTACCACTGTGTTTCTCCGAGTCATATGTACTTTCTAAGGGTATTTAGACACCACTGACAGACGGTGAAGGAAAACATCGTGAGAAAACCTGGACTTATAATTTCACAATTATAAGTTTGAAATCACCAACCCGTCTTGAGCAAGCGTGGTGATTAATGCTCAAAACCCTTCTGCATGGGAGAAAGAGGCCTTTGCTCAGCAGCGGGCTCTGATAGGCTGATGACATATACTGCATACATATGTAGGTGTCATATAAAAATATCAATTTTTATTTACAGGGAATATTAACATAAATATTGTATATTAGGTAGTGTATATAAAAATATTACATTGTTTTCCTTACCAACCCAATTTTTGGATATTTCAAGGACTTGCCTTTTACTTAGGAACAACTATATCAAAACATTTGTTGGATTTTAAGTAAATAGCAAATAAGATGCTTATTTTAAATCAGCGATCGTTTATCTTATGCTATCTTAATATATAAATGTGATCGAAATAACCAATCTTAATGCAATATCTGCTTCACATTGAACTGGTGAGATTATTATTTTTATTCTCAAAAAAAAAAACATTATTTTTAAATAGCGTTAACACTTAAATTGTTGCTTTATATTATTATAAGTATAATGTAACATAGCAGTATTAAGTATTGTTTAAAAGCTACAATAGATTCGTGATTTAATATTTCTCACGATCTGCAGTGTGTATAATTGTGCATTTAGGTATTAGTTTTTCACCGCGGCCACAGAGCAGCGGTATATATATATCTGTTCGAATATAAATAGGCTTGTGTATTTCATTCTCTCTCTTGCGTCGGCATACCATAGTGCTAGTATAACTTGTTTATACAATATACGTAAATTGTTCTTAGTATCTATAGACTGTAAGTTGTTAACATGTTTTAATGTTATTGTTACAATTAACAATAACTTTAATATATTTTTTTTGTTTAAATCAGTAAGATTTTGCTAATAATTTGAATTGTTTCAGCATCATGTGGTTCCTAGTAGCGGTCTCGTTGTTTGCGGGGGCGCAGGCCTGTGTCCCAAGTGTGACTACGGTTAGCGGGACCCACGCACCGGTCACTGTTTGCTCTGGAGCCATGATATTCGCTGATGACTTCGAAGAATTTGACCTTGAGAAATGGCAGCACGAAAACACTTTGGCTGGTGGTGGTGTAAGTCGATTTCCTTACATATTTTCTTATATTTATAATATAAAGATATAGCCAACAGCAAAGTTTATTAAGGCCGCATATTCTAAACTTAATTTTTTAATTATATCCCTTTTTATATAATTGTATAATAGATACATTAGAACGGTTTACAAATAAAAGAAATATAATTGATATCTGTCTAAAAATATGTATTTATTTGTATTTCCCGGCGAATGACGATTCCAATACTTCTCTAACAGCATTACCAACATTTAAATAGGTATTTCCCTCTATTTGTACAAGCCCTTCTCAGACGTTAATTCCAATTAACTAAAAAGTGACGCTTTTATTAACAGGAAAAATCAGTAGTAAAAATACCAGTCCAGACCCTTGACTCATATTGAATTATATTTACTGTTAAGAAAATTTCCCTTTAAATGTGAAATTAAATTTAAGTTTAAAATACAAAGTAATGTTATTTGCAATATATGCAACATATGTTCGTTATCTGATTATGTAACACACATATTATAAAGGTACTTATGACACTCCTAAAACAGTTTACAGCTTTGAAAATAATTAAGTACCTACAATATTAATATTAATATGAGTAATTTTCAAACAGAACTGGGAGTTCCAATACTACAATAACAATAGAACTAATTCGTTCGCTCAAGACGGCAAGTTGTTTATTCGTCCGTCCCTGACTGCCGACCAGTTTGGCGAAAACTTCTTATACACTTCAACTCTCAATATAGAAGGTGGAGCACCAGCTGATAGGTATAGATAAATTTTATTAAATTGTGAAAAAAATACGAACTCAACTAAAAATTATTTACTGATGAAATTAAAATTCATATCAATATTTCATTATAGATATTCAAAGTCACTTTATCGTCATCCAATAAGGTTTCACCTCTGTATATTTATTACATGAACTCTAATCATACGGTATTTCTATTAAATAAATTGCTAAAGGTAAATTATTATTGTAAATTGATTTTTTTATTTATAACTAATTTATGTTATCTGATTTTGATTAAAGATTATTAAATCGAAGATATTCTTTTGATAATTATCACTTCGTAGATATTACATTTTATATTGATAATAATCTGAGAAATATCTTATATGCAAATAGACCTTAGACGATACGTAGGTATATATTGAAACAGTAAATTAATGGTAGTTTTTATTATAGGTTTAGTCTTTGTTGATTACAGATGCACCAACCCACAATGGTATGGCTGCGAACGTACAGGAACACCAAACAATATTTTAAATCCCATAAAAAGTGCTCGCATCCGAACGGTTAACTCCTTTAGCTTCCGTTACGGAAGAGTGGAGGTGCGCGCCAAAATGCCTGCAGGAGACTGGTTATGGCCTGGTAAGTGGTTATGACTGGTTATAACTGTTTATCCTATATTTCTTATACTTAACCTATTCTACTTTAATTCTTCTATTATCCAATTATACTTCTTCATAATGGATTACATTATACCTATATATCGTTACTGTCATATAACTCAGAAAAAACTAATCTTTAAAGTAAGCTGCCTTATGGGTACAATATTTTGATAATGTACTTATATATAATAAATTTCACAGCTATTTGGTTGATGCCAGCGTATAATTCGTATGGCACGTGGCCAGCGTCTGGGGAAATTGATCTTGTCGAATCCCGCGGTAACCGTAACATGATTCAAAACGGACTACATATTGGAACACAAGAAGCTGGCTCTACTTTACATTTCGGACCGTACCCCGATTGGAATGGTTGGGAAACAGCTCACTGGGTTAGACGTAACCAAGGGGGATATGATTACGACTTTCATCGCTACCAGCTCGAGTGGACTCCAGGTATAGTTTTGTAATAGCCAATAGAAACATTAAAATAATGGACAATCATGTTTTTTTCTACTTATAACAACTAAAATGGTCCCTATCATTGTACAAGATATATGTAATTACATCAAAAAAGGTTCATAAGTCATGATCTATTCCAAATCTTCCATATGAATTCCATTGATAGATGAATAGCTTATAGTACTAAATAATGAGGTCTTTCAACAGATTTCATAAAATTCAGCATTGACGATGTTGAGCTAGGACGAGTAGCGCCTGGAAACAAGGGCTTTTGGGAATACGGTGGCTTTAGCAAAAATCCTAACGTACTTAATCCATGGCGATACGGTTCGAAAATGGCGCCGTTCGACCAAAAGGTAATTTTAATAATTCTAAATTAAATGTGTAAATGAACATCAAAAACATTTAACTAAAATGGATTATATTTTTAGTTTTATATAATCATTAACTTGGCTGTCGGTGGTACCAACGGATTTTTCCCTGACAACGTGTTTAATCCTACACCAAAACCCTGGTCCAACAATTCTCCTCGTGTAAGTATATTTATAAGTACTTAAAAAACTTTAATTTAGATGTAGAGGATTCTGATATATTCTGTTTTATAATAGTCCTTAATGTTAGTAAGAGAAATCAAAATGTATACAATCAATATTATGTTTATTATTTGTAGAATAATACTTCTATTTATTTTTTTAAATAATAAAATGAATATTTCTAGGCCGCTACTGACTTCTGGAATGGCCGCAATTCCTGGCTGCCAACTTGGATGCTCAACCAAAACGAGGGACATTCGGCCTCTTTACAAGTGGATTATGTGAGAGTCTGGGCCTTGTAGTGATGAAAATAAAAAGTAGTAAAAAAAACCACCAATGTTTTGTTTTATTTATGACCAGTATTTTATAAACAAATTAGAGTTGTATGAAAATATCTGTAACTTTATTAATTCTTTCTTTCTAAATCTGTCAGTTTATTGCTTTAAAGCCAAAAAGGTGTTAAATAAATATCTGTACCACCTTACTAAGATTCTTTCCAAGATTCTTTTTATGCTGTCTCTAGTTAATACAACTATACTTCGAAGTTAATACGAACTCATAGTTCATTTATAGCGCTACATGGACTGGATCGAGTTTGAAGATTCAAAGCTGAATTATTTCATTGAGATAAAGTGCATGCAAAAGGTTTTTACCTATTACAACTAACATATTCATACAGTTATCTCTACTAATATTATAAATGCGAAAATAACTCTGTCTGTCTGTCTGTTACGCTTTCACGCCTAAACAACTGAACTGGTTTTAATGAAATTTGGTATAGACATATTATGTAGAGTTAACCTTGAGAAAGAACATAGGATAGTTTTTATCCCCGACTTTTTGAAAAGTTCTCTTGGAAACGCAATACAACCGAACTCCACGCGGGCGAAGCTGCGGGCGGAAAGCTAGTAATATATATTTCAATTACTGTTATTGTTACTGTTACGTCTGGTAAAAGTCAAAGTATTATTTACTAAATTGCGGTTATATTCTGCGTGGTTATAGGCGGCAGTGGGTAATAAGTATAATAATAAAAACTGTCAAAAAATTAAGCCCACTACATATTGTAAATCGCGAGTAGTTTTAATAATGTAATTTTAAACGTCAAATCTACTAAAGCTATAATAATACAAAGCACAGATTAAATAATTTTATTATACAATTATATACAGGGTGACTGGTGAATTACTATCAATATTTAAGGAGCATACTCGGTACATGATTCTCATTCGAATTATGTAAAAAAAATAGGTACTTAATTTTTGACCGAATTTCCGTATAAATAAATAAAGTGTGTACACGTTCCAAGTGTTCCAAGTGTGAACGCGTGCGGCGACGTGCTGATACAACAAGACGCCGCCGCGCGCTAGTGTGTGTGTGTGTGTGTGTGTGTATACCTAATCTGTAGGGTGTTCATACGATGTGTAATTAATTACATAACTTTTGGTTAACTTTACTTAGAAGTTTATTAATATTTATGTTATATTAATTTTTATTTTGTCATATATGATCGTCAAATATCACGTCCTCAAATATCGATAGTAATTCACCAGTCACCCTGTATATATTTTTTTATCTTCCGTAATAATCTTCAATCAATCCATGTGATAGAACCTCGGACTGAGGTAATGAGTGTTCTTGTTCGTCGACACCGGTGTTGATAATACGTGAGGTGGAATCATTCGACGTTTGTCAGGGAACTGAGTTGCGTAGTAACGACGCTCTATCACCTAGTTAATATAAATATTATATAAACCAATATAAATATTAATATAAAAATATTATACAATTCCACTACTGGTAGTGTGATGGATGAAAAACATGTGATGAAGAAACATTGACATTCTTCGTTCTCTATGGTACAAAAGTAAATTAAATAGGATATACCTACTTATCACAGAAGGAAAATATGAAGTCAAAAAAATGCTATATGTTGATGGAATATACAATTAATTTATATAAGGGATTTTGAGTGCTTGTGCCAATTTTGGTGAGCTTTTATATAGCAACACTTTTTATACGTCACGACATTGAAAATCAAATAATCCATCTGTTGGTAAGGAAGGAAAAGAATTTTTCTTTGTACAATTGAAATTTTACAAATAAAATTAAAGGTATTTTTTTATATTATAGCAAACAAAAATAAATAAATATTCAAAAATAGTTTTTATAATGTTAACAAAAAAAGATTTTATATTAGAAATGTTAATAGTCTAACACTATTCTAATAACTAGTATAGTTATTTCTCTCTCACCTTATCAAAGAACCTTGTTAATTTCACAGAATTGCTGGTCCCTGGAGCTAGTGACCTGAAATAATATTTAGTCTCTACAAATTACAATGTTTACGACACGAATTGAGCCTAAAATTTAAGCAAAAATTTTTGGCTATCAGTCACAGGCTAAAAATTAAAAAGTTAGGAAACGTGATGATGAAAATATCACTCGAAATTATTTGGTAATTTTATGGGACTATACCTTGCTTGATGGCAGTTAACGAATATTTCGTCAGCGCCACACTGTTCCGCGATACTGCTAGCCAGTCTTCGGTACTGATTTTTTCGTTGCTTCTCCTCAGCCAAATCATATTTGGTCCCTATTACTAGAATGGGAATCTGAAAATTTCAGCTTTTAATGCTTATACGTTTCTCAATGTGCATGAATAATTGCTAGCTTAGGGGCTAGGATACGTGCAAATTATATTGGCTATTCAATTAGAAGGTACTGTTTTGAAGGAATAATATGAAATTTTCTCTTGCATTTGAACTCATAAAGATTTAAATCAAAATGAAGAAGTAAACGTCTGTAACTTACTTGTGTAGATCCTAGAAATTGTTCTGGGTCCACGTCCACGTGTTGATAATTTGGATTGGTAGCATCTTGGTTTAGTATCTCCGACAACCATTTTTGTAAATTCAACTGACTCTTCCTATTTGTAAGATCGTGGACCAAAATTATACCTATAAACGAAAAAAGTCTTTAAAGCTATAAATAAATGTAATATGTGATATAATGTGAACTCAACTTACCATGTGTTGGCTGATAGAACACATTCCTAGTGTTTCTATGATTATTAGAACCGCCAACATCCCAGAGCTCTACGAAAAATGTGTTTTGCGCTTGAGTACCTTCCTTGTATTTGTGCAGCTTCACTTCCACTGAACACCCGACCGTCCATCCTGGCGACAGCAGCGGCTTGTTGTGTGCGACTAAGTAAGTGAGTGAAGTTTTGCCGACTCCTGAGAAGATTACGTATGCATTTATTACTATAAGACTATAAAAAAACTCACATTGTTGGTCGTTTCGTTGTTTTATTTGGCGAGCGTTTTTTTTCTTTTTTACTTTACTTTTGTATTCCGTATATCAAGCACAGAACTCCAAGAACGCATTACTATTATAAAGGCACTTGGAGTTAATCATCTAATTTATAAACCCATGTATTGTCACAAAAAAATAGTTTATATTTACATAATTAACTTGGACTAAAAAGATTATTATGGTACTATGCCTTCTCAAAAAAAATCCTTTTATATCTCACCTTTTGAACTCTCTAGCGGTAATTAAGATTTTATACTACTGTTTACTTTATACATTTATACTGTTTACTTTATAGCTAGACATTATTATTTTCAATTACCGTAATATGAAACAGTTCTTTTTAATAAGCACAATACGATTACTATGTCACTTTTTGTCAAACATAATTTTATATTTAACAAAGCAACTTATTTCAATAAAAAAAATATTGCCAAGAATACCCCAATATATCGGTATCCAAAAAATCTTTTGCAAAACCAAATTATTCTTTAAGGTCTAGGTTATCTGGTTTAAAATAAAAATGCCGTTCACATTTCTTTTATGCTCTTCTGATTGGAATAAACAAATACTTCTTACCGAGTACCTTTACACACTTAAAACTAAGAAATCACAAGGCTTAGATTTTCAATATCTTCACACTTAAAACGATGGATTTTTAATATTAACATTTATATTGCTTTTATAGAGAACCAACTAAAATGATAAAAAAAAACTATGAATGTGTTATAATTTTGAAATTTAGCAATGTTAAATAAGTTTTCCCGCCATTTCGCAAGATGTTATATTGTCTAACCTGCAAGAGAGCTGTCATGGCCACAAACATGTTGGCAATTGTTAGTTTGTGTGTAATTTAGGGAACCGTATAAAATTTATTGTGAATTAAGTAAATAACGTGAACAATAGGACTTAATGAAGGCTACTTTACCAGAATCGCCCAGAACGACGACCTTGACCTTCTCAATTGCAGCCATTCAAAGGTAAAACTTATATATTATGCTTGAACTCAATTTATGTTTCATTCAAGGAATACCGAATATTTTGATGTTTTATATTGACAGTTGACATTGCATTACACTGAACTGCTACCAACACTGTGGTAAGAAAATGTTGTCAACGGAAAATTAAAGGATGTATCAATATTAACTTAGTAGAAAAGATAACGCGTTAATGATTTTAATATTATAATATTATATCTTGTATGAATATGCAGTGTATGTATTGAATATATTCGTTCCTTTTTTCTCTTTCAACTAGCTTTGTTTTGGTCTTTTTGGTTTTGTGTTTTTTACTACTGGTAATAATATTGATGCTTTTTCAGACTTTTTCCGTAGTTGTTCGTTCTTGACTAACTTGTGTTTCTCTACTGTACGGTGTACTGGGAAGTAGACGTGAAGATTTTGATAAAATCAATAATAAATAATGCTTCCGCCATTGTGTGCTGAATATTATGTTTTCAGCGTTTTGTAAATAGCCGTAAATTAAAATGCAACGATTTTATATTTTATACAACGAAACATTAACTCTTTTATAACGATGAACGTGTATTATAAAGTTATAATTGTGCTTCTATCAATTAAATCTGTGCATCTATATTGTGGCCCATACAATGGACAAATATGTAAACATTATTTAACTGGATTCGTATGGTTTAACCATACTGGAGGTCTTGAAAATGAGAAAATTACAACAGGTCTATGGAAAGAAATGATATCCGCCTTGAAGGAGCCTTGTCGCAGTAAAGCTGAAAAGCTTTTATGCTCTTATGCATTTCCGAAGTGCGTCAATAAAGATGGAATTGGTGATTTTGCTTTGCCTCTCTGTTATGAAGACTGCATGGCTGTTAAAATGCAGTTTTGTTACAAAGATTGGATCGTAATAGAAGAACAAAAAAATCGTGGTGTGTATTTTGAATCTCGAGGTCATTTCAGATTTCCAGAGTGTGAAAAACTCCCAAAATTCTCTGGAAAAGGAGCTCACGTAACCTGTAACAATGCAGGAATCACAGACATGGACTATAGTCAGGTAACAACAACTTGCATTCATGGCAGTGGTCGGTACTATCAAGGCACAGTTAATGTAACTGAAACTGGACTTGCTTGCCAAGCTTGGGAATCCCAACAACCTCATCAACATGCAAGACCACCATTAGTGTTTCCAGAGGTTCAGAATTCCACAAATTTTTGTAGAAATGCCGGTGGCGAAGAACGTAAACCTTGGTGCTATACAATGGATCCAAATGTTAGATGGGAAGTTTGCGACATTCCAATGTGTGCCAATTCTACAGAGGAATTAGATGATGTCAATGGACCAATTATTATGGAAAATTATTTTACACCAAAATTTGTGTTACTACTGTCCGTAGGAGGCCTCGGATGTATTCTGGGCATAGCATCAATAGCACTCCTTTGCCATTACTTTTTGAAGAGTCATTATTCAAAGTGTAATATATCAAATCGCAGAAACTTGCAAAATGTTGACATTGATTTAGATAAACTTCCAAGCAACCTTGCTTATCACACAACTGGTGCACAATTAAACCCCAAGTTAGAGAAATTGGAATTTCCAAGAAATAACATTATTTACATCCGTGATTTAGGACAAGGTGCTTTTGGCAGAGTGTTTCAAGCAAAAGCACCAGGCTTAGTTCCAGAAGAGGAATTCACTCTAGTCGCTGTTAAAATGCTCAAAGACGAGGCTTCACATGACTTACAATTAGATTTTGAACGAGAGGCTTGCTTATTAGCAGACTTTGACCATCCAAATATTGTCAAATTATTAGGTGTATGTGCTATAGGACGTCCTATGTGTTTATTATTTGAATTTATGGGTAAGGGTGATCTAAATGAGTATCTAAGAGCTTGCAGTATGGCACCAAATTATCCACCAGCCGTTGAAAATAGAGAGGATTTGAGACTTCTTGCCGCCCCACTTAGCCACTTAGACCTCTTGCATATTGCAAGGCAAATCGCTTCTGGTATGGTTTACCTTTCAGATAGGAAATTTGTTCACCGTGATTTAGCTACTAGAAATTGTCTTATTAATGATGATATGGTTGTAAAAATTGCTGATTTTGGATTATCACACAAGATATATTTGCAAGATTATTATAAAGGTGATGAGCATGATGCAATCCCTGTTAGATGGATGCCTTTAGAAAGTATATTGTACAACAAATATACTTTAGAATCTGATGTGTGGGCTTATGGTGTATGTCTTTGGGAAATTTTCTCTTTTGCCCTCCAACCATATTTTGGTATGACACACGAGGAAGTAGTAAGATTTCTTAAAGATGGCAACTGTCTCGCATGTCCAGATAACACACCGAGATGTGTTTACGATTTAATGAAACAATGCTGGAACCACCATCCTAGCGATCGTCCAAACTTTAGAGTGATATACCAAACAATTGACAATATACAAATGATACTTGAAAGAACACATTCTAATTGATTTGATTTTAAGAGGATTAAGTATAAGAGAATTGGAATTTTTAAATGATGGAATTATTTTACCTATCATTATATGTAATGTCTTACCCTTAGATGTAAATAATGTAGGTAGACCCGTCATAAATTGTATGGAATCTTAAATGTTAAGTATTTATTGTGTGAATTTTGACTATCTATAAAAATGTTATGAAATGTGATAGTTCAAACATTGAACTTGAGTGAATGAATTAGTACAGTTGATACATCATAGAATATAGTTTCAGAGATATTTTGCACCGCTAAATCCTTAAAAATATTGCTCATATTGCCTAATCGGACCATAATCTAGTTTATATCCCATTTGTTTTAAGATTTTTGTAATTATAGAGTGTAGATATTTTAATAATCAGCAGTTATAAAGACTGATTTTGTTTTAAATTGTTCCTTTTTATGTAGTTCAAGTATTATAAGTTTACAGATATATTTTATGTTTTAATACTAACAATATGGCTTTACTTTGCTTTTTTATAGTGTATAGTTTTGTGTAATTATTTTTAAATTTAAAGATGGCTGCTATGTTTATGAAAGTTTTAATTTTGCCAGGGCTTTGTAATTAACGGAACATGTGCCAAGACAATCAAAAGAAAGAAATGTACTTACTTTATGTAAACTTTATATAATTATTAAGAGAAAATATTTTTTTCTAATAGACCTTTTCATCCTGTTATCAGGAAAATACCAAAATCATTAGGAATGTATAAACATTCAAATTTTTAAACAGTTTGTCTTCTCATTCAATAGTAAAATATTAAAGGTCCCTGTATAAATGTGCAATGGATATTTTTTCCCTGTAAAACGTGTTAAAGTATCTAAAATCGATGTGAAGCCATCCATATTATTAAACAATTTATTTCACTGCCAAATAAAAATTTATAATTGTAATATTTGCACTAATTTCTAAGTGTATTAATAATTTTTTGTACTCAATAATTTGTAACATGTATTTTTGTGACACATTATAAATTTAATTTATTAATTTGTGTTACTTATTGTCGTTAAGAATAAATGATTCGATTTTAAAACGTGGTCTAATTTCTATCTTCGCGAAACTTTCTAGATCAATGTATTAGAATTAAGAATATATCTCATGTATGTTGCCGGGTAAATACAATACGTCTTACAAAGTTGTTAACGAGTCTAATAACAAAAGCCCATTGTGCAGTTCACCCCTTAGACTGCAAATAACGTTGAACTTGTTGGTTTTGTTATACGATATGAAATAGGGAAGCGAGAGTTGGTTGAACTTGCAATGTTTATTCACTGGAACGTTCTTTAGACGTAGATTTATAAATCGTGTTCACGTATAAATATAATTATATTAAATTCTAGTTAGAACATTTTATCTTTCTGTAATCGTTGTTATACCCAGAAAGCGTTATCGAATGATTCATCTTAAAATATGACAACTATTGATTATTATGAAACATTAGGTATTTATCCTTTGTGATAATGAACCTAGCATGTTATTTGGAGTAGTGAAGTACGATTTTAAATTTTTCTAGCCTTAGTTTATTTTAAAGACACAATTTTTTTGCAATCAACACCACAACAACTCATAATACATAAACAGAAAAAAATACATTTGAATTGAAAACTCCTCCTTTGAAATCGAATTATTGTTTAAATAATACAAATAAATTACAATGAGACGAAACTTCTTAGAATTCAATGGACTCACCGTGCGGGTGCCGGGTCAATCATGTTAGTCCAATTCATAGGAGGTGAAAATGTTAAAGATTCTATTGAAACAATACAGTAACGAAAATAAATAGTTTAAGGTAGTGGCAAACTAATCCATCCATATGTATATATTCAGTTAGGTATGACTGAGGAACGTCTGGTGACTGAGGTGCCGAGCAGCTTGAAGCAGTTGGCAAGGCTGGTGGTGAGAGGTTTCTACACCATCGAAGATGCCTTGATCGTGGACATGTTGGTTCGAAACCCTTGTAAGTTAGGATAAATAAAATAAATGATTTTTGCATTTAAAATTTATAATTAACGTTTTTTGTCTGTATTAATTACGACTGCTTAACAATGACTGCAACTTGTTTGAAGGTCTCCGCTTGTAATAACGTTTTTTAATTAAATTCTATTATTACAATTTTTTTATTTTATTTAAGGTATGAAGGAAGATGATATCTGTGAACTGTTAAAGTTTGAAAGAAAAATGTTGAGGGCTCGAATAGCTACACTTAAAAATGATAAGTTCATACAGGTTAGGCTTAAAATGGAAACTGGTAAGTATGTGGAATAAATATTTTTATTGAAACCAGCAAAGCATTAATCTTAAACTGTATCAAATTTAAGGTTTGGATGGCAAAGCACAAAAAGTGAACTACTACTTTATAAACTACAAAACTTTCGTGAACGTAGTAAAATACAAATTGGATTTGATGCGCAAACGCATGGAAACTGAGGAGAGGGACGCCACCAGTCGCGCCAGCTTCAAATGTCCTTCGTGTGGGAAGACATTTACAGACCTCGAGGTATGAATTCTGTAACCTCACCACAAGTTTGCATCGCCAAACTAAATACAGATAGTCCCCAGTTTTTCATTCATTACCTTATTTCTTCTTATGATTAAAAGTATGTAAACTGGGAACAAGTATGTCAATGAATTTAAGTCAAGGATACATTTAACATACTTATTATAAGCCTTTTACTTTTATGAAAACTTTTTTTATTTGCAAAATATTCTCTTCAAAGAACAATGCTCTAGAAACAAAACTCTAATGATAAATAGCCCATCTTTTGTAGACTCGTCTTTAAATAAAAAAAATGTTACGTTATTCCTATGTTTAATGTTATACCATATAATATTCTTTTATTACTTAAAAATACATTTTTTGTTTTACATATAATAATGAAATTAAATTTACAGGCTGACCAACTTTACGACATGATGACTCAAGAGTTCAGGTGTACGTTTTGTAACCAAGTTGTTGAGGAAGACCAGTCAGCGCTGCCTAAGAAAGATTCAAGGTTGCTGTTAGCGAAGTTCAACGAACAGTTAGAGCCGCTCTACATCTTACTGAGGGAGGTCGAGGGCATTAAATTGGCTCCAGAGATATTGGAACCAGAACCTGTCGATATAAACACCATCAGAGGGTCTGTACCTATAACCGTGATTTTTAAAACCATGGTGTTTCGAAAGAACAATGATATTTATAGAGTCTTGATTAATACAATCGATGTTTTGGACTACACCTCTTATACTTCCTTGCCATAATCACAATAGTCCTTTATCATCTTTTATGTCCAAAATAAAGTCATTCTCAAACCATTGATTAATTCATATCAGACCACAACTGGGTCTATAGGAGTAAAAACTCATGACTTTTATATATAATTTCAGATTAACAGCCAAGCATATGACAAGTCGTCCAGGTGGTGGGGAATGGTCGGGCGAGGCGACCCGCAGCCAAGGTCTGGCTGTGGAGGAGACGCGTGTAGACATCACAATCGGGGACGCGGACAGAACCGACACGACAGCCGCTCGCAAGGAACGACCCGTCTGGATGGTGGAGAGCACCATCACCACCGGCGAACAGGTGCATCATAGATAATACACTATATTAGAAATAGATGCGTCACTCTGGGTTTCAGTTTAAAAAACTACCATGTACCCTGTACGCTAGATGTCGCTGCATTTACTAAATAGGACGTGGATGCTACTAGATGGCGCTTAATGTTATTCGAATTTAATAGGGAAAATGCAAATTTCAATTTTATTATTAACTTTCAATCTTTGGTTGATTAAAGTTAATAATAAAATTATTTATTGAGGTGCATACTGAATACTTTGATAATTTTTTTGGTTGTTTTTTTTTAATATGGCCAGCATCCGTACAAAGATGTGCACAGTATATTCTGCCAGCATCGTTGGTACGTTTTTAGTTTCTACTTGATTGTAGCTTTTAGCACTAATGGCTTTGATAGTATCACCGGGACACGTGGGTGACATGAGGGACCTACCCATTAAATTCGGCCTGAAGGGTTGTATATCTTATTATAAGTCACCATACCTATATGTAATATAGAACAAAAATAACATAGATATCAGGATATCGTTTATAAACCATGGCTAATATGGAATTTAAAAAATTGTAAACAGAAGCAGTATTCGAACTGTTTTCTAATACTTATACTATGAAAGTATTCAAAAAAAAATATTTAAAAATGAGCTCAAAATTGCAACATTGTTACAAATATAATTATTGTTATATTATTTTTTTATCGTTTGATTAATGCTTTGCACAGCAATCTGTCATAAACATTTAGCTGTTTCGTTATTTGAGCCATGTCGGGGAATTTATTCATGATTTATTTGTTATAATATACGTATATCAATGATTATTTTTGCATCTTCTTCAAACATCAAAAGTTATAACTGCGTCTCTGAATTGTTTTCAAAACTCCAAATTTTATGATTCATATTTTTTATAATTTTGATTATCTGTGAACTTTTGAACTAAATCATAAAATAAATGTAACGGTAATTGTATTGGACGCTATTCTGTATAAAAATCCGTAATAATATTAATCCTAACGTCTCTTCGATATACTCAGGGTGATCGATAATAATGTTATTGTATGTATATATTAAATAATACAATATAAATATTTAACTGGATACTACATGTATTATAAATAAATATTCCCAGAGCGAGTCTTCGTTGGTGTCTGGTGAGGTCGAGCGATCTACCGGCAAGCAACCGGCCAAGGAGAAGGGAGACGACATCATGTCCGTGTTGTTGGCACACGAGAAACAAAATACAGGTAAACAAAAAAAAACAAAAACAACTGTATTACATCATAGTACTAATATAAAAGTCATAAATTTCAAATTTCTACCAAAAACTATACTACTTTTGCGATCGAATGACGTATACTAACTACTGAATGACCACATACCAATCAAAGTTGCATTGGTTTATACATTTTTTTTTCTGGGTGTGTAAATGCAATCTTTTGAGTTTAGACGAACTATATCATTAAAGGGACAGATAATTTTTATATATAAAAATAAACTAGTTTTCACAAAAAAGAATCTAAGTATAAAAGTTAATTTGAATTATTCCAGGGAACGTTGCAGCGAACGCTATCAAGGGCGCGGATCCTGAGAGCTCGGATTCTAGCGACAACGAATCAAAGGATCCTTATAAACTAAAAGATGAAATCGCCGCTGTTGGTAAGTATAAGACTTGTATGTTCTTATAAGAGATTTTCTTATATTTAGTATGATTATTATTTACTAAAACTATGTATGACCATGTAATGTTATCTTTTTCAAGCTGAAATGGACAGCGAAGATTCTGAATCAGATGACAACGCGCCTACCGTATTGGTGAATGGCAAGCCGGTGGCTCTGACTAGTATAGACGATGACGTCATCGCTCGTATGACTCCCACAGAGAAGGAAACATACATACAAGTGTATCAAGAGTACTACAGCCATATGTATGATTAGGTAATAAAAAATATGATCATTAACTGATTGGGTTGTTTAAAATTTATATCCCTATAAATAACAAACGAAGCATTACATGAATGGACTAACTTGTTTATCCAATTAAATTAAATTATATTTCTATTTAACATATTTTTTTAAAATACCATATATGTACTTTTAAATCCATAATTCAATCTTTAGTTGATACATATACCTTTAACAAAAATATATATTATAATATTATTATTTTTTTTATTACATATGAGGATGAGTGAGAAACGAAAACACATTTATTATTCCTGAAACAATATCTATATTTCAAATATAAATTAACAAAATATTTTTATCAACAATAATTTCATTCAACAGCCGGCATGTGATATAAAAAAACAAATATAAAAATAAGTAACATGCCACAAAGAAAATTGAGAATGTTAAATAATACTGAAACTATATTTTCACAATTGTACTAATGTTAGCTTAATAACATAATTATAAATAATATATACAAATCTACATTATGTGTGATGAAAATAAATAACTCTTAACAATGCATAAAAAGAACAATATGTACATATATCTTTTGAATATAGAATTACTAACCGACTTTTAATTATATATACTTTTAAATTTTGTTGATTGACATTAACATTCTCACAATTAAAACAATTTTAATATTATTATCCAAAAAAGGCACTTAAACTTCGAATAAATTATGAACGCACAATGTTAATATCTTATTAAAATATGTATGTATATAAATTGGTAACAGATATTTTCACTTATCATGTATCATTACACACAACAGTGACGAATTTGTACGAGAAATTGAGCGTTTATATTACTAAGTATAGAATATTTAGAAACAAATCGACTGAATAACAGACGCTTGAAAAAAAATTTATTTTTTTTTCTGCCTAGTATCAAACGACTCGAAACTACTAACAACAGTTTTTAGTTTTCAATTATTGCACAATATTAAATTATAATATACTAGAATAAATTTCAATAAAATTCATTTGTGTGTGCGCATTGAATACTAGACCCTTAAAATTATAAAACATAAATAGTTTAAATTGAACTACACGTCATTACTATATGATGGTCATATTAAATTAAATCCGCGAAATTCAACATACAAAAACATGTCTACGTATAAATCATACTGTGATAGTCAAAAATAATATGTCATTAATTGACTTCGTTACTCCATTTCTTCCAATACTCATCAGTTTGCATTTCCATGATTCTAGACAGGCACCGTTCGCAAGCAAACATTTCTTCTTCACCAGTAAATATTGCGGCATTTGCATCGTCCTATAATAAAAAATATACATTTTACAACAGTTCATATTTCTCTGTAGGTATGTATTACAATTGAAAGCAGCCTTTGCCCAAATGGGCGATAACGCACACTTGTTTGAATTACATGTTGTTAAAAATACATGTTGTTGTTAAAAATACATGTTGATCCAGAGAAAAGGGGGCCTAGGGGGTGATTTGTAATTTCATTAAGCTAGCATAAGTTATAGTCATGTTTCATTAGGTAATAAAATGGCTTCGCTAAATGATAATTTATTCTCAAAGTGGACAATAGACAAAATAAGTTTGAAAACCCCGGATTTAAGTGTTACATAAAATGTTATGAAGTAAATAAAACGATTATTAGTTGTTTATCACCTAGTATCCATCTTGAATAATCTCGAGAACAATATTAACTTTATAATTATGTAAGAATATAACAAAATTAGTTACCGAATCTTTAGTGATTTTAAGATCATCCATCAAAGCTCTATCAGCATCACCAATACCATCCTTTACATCATCCAACTTGAAAAGATTCTTTGGTTCACAATCCGCAGCTATAACAACCTGAAAGTATAAAACAGATTATAATAAAAAATTATATATTTGTGCGGGATAGCATCATAGAAATAGTATAGAATATAATATATATATGTAAAATAAATAGCGATAGAACTTGTAATGTATAAATAAAGATATAACGTAAGATTAATGTAAATAAACAGCATAGTATAGTAAATAAAAATATAGAAACTATGTAGAATGTAAAATAGAAACAACTTGTAACTGTAAAATGATCGTATGCGCAACTACGCTCAACAACGCAAGCTCCTGATTGGGCGAGCGCCTGCGCGCTCGCTCAATCACCGACAATGCGCGGTGAGATCACCGCGCGGATATAAAAGGCCGGCCGACGGGCCGACTCAGCGCAGTCAGTGAGCGGAATTCATCGGAAGAACATCAGTCAGCGGAACTCAAGAACTACGGAAGACTTCGACAGCGAACAGTGAAACGGAAGATTATTAACAGTGTTCAGAATTGTAATTCGTGTAGAAAATAAATAGTGAATAACCGAACCAGCGCATAGTTTTAATGTACAAACCCGTACATTAAATTGTCCTTCGAGCCGGATAGTACAGAAGAATCGGTTATCGAAGAACACGAAGATCGTCGAAGAACACGAAGATCGTCGAAGAACACGAAGATCGTCAAAGAACGCGAAGATCGAATGCCGATCACTCGCTCTGAAGGAAAAGGTCGGAAACTGCGATCAGTACAACAATCCTCGTCCGAGGAGACGACCACGGGGACATACGACACGGAGACTACGGAGACAACGCCTTCTACGATGTCATCAACGCCTACCGTAACAGGTGACGGCACCAGTGGCGCCGTCGCCCCACCCCCCGTTATCGCCGCAGTTATCGACGCATCCGCTACCTCGGTGAGAGGTAGTCAGTGACGCCCTCCGCCGCGCCTACAGTACAAGTGGGATCGAAGATGAAGCCGCCTGCTCGACCTGTCACCAGGGTTGACCCAGCAATCAACCAGGGAGCTGAAACTGGCCTGCCACTGCCGAGCGGCCAGCCGAAGCCCCATACACCGAGAAAGAAGGGCTCGACAAGGTCTAAGGCTCATAAAATAGCCAAGGCCAGAGAGGAGATGCTCCGACTGCAAGTGGAGCTCGCCGCCGCTCGTTTCGCCTCCTTAGAAACGGAGGACACAGAGGACGAGGAAGACGACGTGACGGTTTACTCTAAGGAGGAAGCAACCAACAAAGTCGACAGCTGGTTGAATAACCAGACCGACAAGCCGGCGTTACCCGCAGAGCCTGTGCCAGTAGATGACAGGGCGGGACTAACGGAACTGCCATACTTTGACGGATCGTACCAACAATGGTTACCGTTCCGTGCCGCATACTATGACAGTCATAGTCACTTCACAGAAGTGGATAACACAAACCGCCTGAGAAGGATTCTAAAGGGAAGAGCCAGAGAGGCGGTCGAGGGATTGCTCATTACGAATACGCAGCCAACAGATATTATGAAGACTCTTGAATCAAGATTCGGGAGACCTGAGACCATCGCCATGATGGAAATGGAGGCATTACGAAGTCTAACCCGCCTCACAGAAACACCACGTGATGTATGTATTTTCGCCACCAAGGTGTCAAAAATAGTGGCAACGTTGAAAACGATAAACTGTGTCAACTACTTGTACAACCCAGAAGCCTCAAAAACGGTAGTGGACAAGTTGACACCAACGCTGAGATACCGTTACTACGACTACGCAGCGACACAGCCAAAGGAAGAACCGGATCTCATTGTAATGGAAAGATTCCTCAGAAGAGCGGCTGACCTATGCGGGAAGTACGCACAGCCGGAACAAGTCGCGATTAGTACTCAGAAAAGGACCCAGAAGATTCTCAAACTGTCAGAAAAGCCATACACACCGAAGTGTCCAGTATGTGATACAACGGGGCACCCAGTGAACGAGTGTGAAAAGTTCAAACAATTGGAACTGAACGACAGATGGGAGACGGCTAAGCCCAAGCATCTGTGTTTCAGGTGTCTCCGCTACAGGAATAAAACACACCAATGCCACGCGAAGACATGTGGTATCAACAATTGCAAGCGTACACATCACAGAATGCTGCATAAGATGAAACAAAGGCAAGCGGAGACACCTGAAGTAATAAATTCGACTTGGGTGACGGAAAGGAAACAGTCATATCTGAAGATTGTCCCCATAAGAGTGAAAGGACCGAAGGGCACGTCGAACACATACGCCCTATTGGACGACGGGTCAACGGTCACTCTCATCGATGAGAGGCTGGCCAACGAAATAGGGGCGAAGGGACCCCGAGACCCGCTCAGAATAGAAACTATAAACGAGATGAAAGCATCAGAAACTGAGTCGAGGCGAGTCACCGTAAGGGTGAAGGGAATCAACAATGAAGAAAGACGAATCCCAGCACGAACGGTCAAGAACCTCAATGTGTCGTCTCAGCGAGTACCAAAGCAGCTGGTGGAACGGTGCAGCCACCTAGCTGACCTAAAGGATCGTCTGTGGTACACGCACGCCAAGCCACAGATATTAATCGGCCAAGATAACTGGCACCTACTACTGGCCTCAGAGACAAGAGTGGGGCGCAAGGACCAACCGGTCGCATCTCTTACGCTACTGGGATGGGTACTGCACGGAAGCCAGACAAGGACCCTCGGGAGGAACATCAACTTCGTTTGCCACATAACCGAGGATCCCGAAGAGGATTTGAAAGACCTCGTAAAGCAATATTTCGAGATGGACGCGCTCTGTCTGAATCCAAGGAGACCTAACACTGATCCCGAGGAGCGCGCGCTGCAGGTACTGGAAAAGAACACCGTACCAACCGACAACGGGAGTTACCAGACAAGCTTACTTTGGCGCAAGGAAAACATATCGTTTCCCGACAACTACGAGAGCGCGCTAAAGAGACTCCATGCCACGGAAAGAAAGATAGATCGCGACCCGAACCTCAAGCAAAGATACAACGAGCAAATGGAAGCGCTCGTAGCCAAAGGGTACGCCGAGATAGCACCGAAGCACAAGACTCCGAACAAGACGTGGTACCTACCACACTTTGCGGTGATCAATAAGATGAAGCCGGACAAATTAAGAGTTGTTCATGACGCCGCAGCCAAGACGAAAGGGGTCTCTCTCAACGACATGCTACTCAAGGGGCCGGATCTACTGCAATCCCTACCAGGAGTCGTTATGAAGTTTCGTCAGCACAAGATTGCAGTCACTGCTGACATAAAGGAAATGTTCATGCAAATCAAGTTACGAACTGAAGATAGAGACGCACTCCGTTACCTATGGAGAGGAAACAGGAGGGATGACTCACCTCCGGAAGAATATAGGATGACGTCGCTCATATTCGGAGCATCCAGTTCACCGTCAACGGCAATATATGTCAAGAACCTGAATGCGAAGCGACAAAAGGACTCCTACCTGGAAGCCACGGAGGCCGTAATCAACAAACACTATGTTGACGACTATCTGGACAGCTTCAAAACCATCGAAGACGCTATACGGATCACCAAGGACGTCCGAATAGTCCACAGCAAGGCGGAACAAGCGGAACTCAAGAACTACGGAAGACTTCAACAGCGAACAGTGAAACGGAAGATTATTAACAGTGTTCAGAATTGTAATTCGTGTAGAAAATAAATAGTGAATAACCGAACCAGCGCATAGTTTTAATGTACAAACCCGTACAATATTATATTAGATTATTAGGGTTGTCATTCTTCTTCTTCTACCTGTAATTTTCCCGACTATAGCCAGGGACTGCCTTACATGTTGTGAATAGTTTTGGCTAATTGTTTTTACGACCGGCCGCATGCCTGACATCAACCCTCTTTTGGGAATGCATTAATCAGTGATGTCTAAATACTCTCAGAAAGTACATATGACTCGGAAAAATAGCATTCAAATCAAAAATCGCACCCTCATGCATGAGAGGCGGGCCTTTTACCCACTAGTCCACCACTGATTAGTTGTTTGTTTGTTGTCTACATTTTAAGTCTTATTGTTATGAAAATATGTTTTAAAATCTTTGACCATATTTAAAACACGTGAGGATGGTTTCTTGAAACCAATCAGTTAAATCACTTGTAATTTCTAATGCAATTTACTTTTTATATTTGAAAATGGTGTATTCATAAATATTGAATACAAAATAAATGACATGTTTAATAATACTTATCAGTTATTACACTATTGTCTCGGTACTTACCCTCACTCTATTGTCATACAGAGTATCAATCAATGTTATGAACCTTCGTATTTGTGATCTATGTAACACAATGGACAATTGAGGTAAATCTCTAATGAACACAGTGTGGAAAGTTTTTGATATGACGAGGTAGTCGCTGGCACCTAAAGGCTGGAAAATAATACCATATAATAATAAACATGTATAAAAGATATTTTAATATATAATTTAATATTTTTTGCATAAGCAATCCTATACTACTAATGAGATAATAAACATATAAGCAATCTTCAAAATAATTAGAAAGTCTTATGGTTAACATTGTAACATTTGTGTCTAGTAAATTAAAAACTAATACAGTAATGATATATATAATCATTGCCTTTTATTTTCGAAACCCTTTAAAAAGATGTCACACCAATGAAAGAAGAAAAATTTGGTAAATGATAATACATACTATACTTCCATTTTATCACATTTTTTAAAGTCTTTCTCAATATTGACACTTTAACATGCTTTCAATTATTACAATAAGTATCTACTATAGCCAAAGTGAATATAATTAAACGCAATAAGAAATTGTTTCTGTATTAAGTGTTTTGAATATTACTTTTTTTTTTTGTCACCAATTCTAATTTTGATTATTTGCTTTTAAGTATATTTTATTGTTTATATAAAAAATATTTTAAAAGAAAATTACCCTATCACATAATTCTTCAAATGTTGAATCCAACACCTGACCACAGGTCTTTGAAAATTTGACATTCCTGCCCATTATATTAATTACTCTAACTCTCACAGTGTCAGTCTCCTTTGATGCAAGGAACTTAAATAATGTATCTATGCCATTATTGTCAGCTGTCAATTCACTATTTCTGAAATAACAAAAAAACAATATTATTTTTTGGCTTTTAAATAACCACACATTAATATAGATTATAATTCATCCAACAAATAAAATGGTTGATTCTAACCAGCCAGGAAATGAAGTCATAACATAAAAAAAATCAATATATTGTATCTAAAACCAAAAATTTCAATGAAGAATTTAACTAAAACAACTCTTCATTTAGCTATAGCTGTTTGCGTGTTGTCTGCTTTATAAATGACTAGCTTTCCGCCGGCAGCTTCGTTTGCGTGGAGTTCGATTATATCGCGTTTCCAAGAGAACCTTTCAAAAGTCTGGGATAAAAACTATCCTATGTTCTTTCTCGAGGTCAACTCTATCTCAGTACCAAATTTCATTAAAATCAGTTCAGTGGTTTAGGCGTGAAAGCGTAGACAGACAGACAAACAGAGTTACTTTCGGATTTATATTATTAGTAGGGATACTCACAGAAAATATTTTCCATACTTATTGCCAGATCCTCTTAACCTATAATCAATACCAGAGTCCAATTGTATAACATTACAATGTGATTTTAATATTGGTATAAATGGCAAGAAGTTTGATCTTTGCAATCCATTTTTATATAAGTCATCTGGCTTTCTATTACTTGTGGCAACAACCACACAGCCATTGTCAAATAACTGAGTGAATAATCTTTTTAATATCATAGCATCACCTATATCTGTTACCTGTAAAATATGACAAACATATCAGAAAAGTATTTAATGAATTATTTTTACAAATGAATTAGGCTAAGTAGGGCTAAATATGCTAAAAAAAAAATTATAACAAAATTAGAAAATAAATCCAGTAGACATTTTGATTCTAAATTGCCACCTCTTATAATCTTGCACATAAGTTAAGTATATCATAACATATTTTAAACATTTAGCTTAAAGTAAAATATATGTATATTGTAATTTTTGCCGATGTGCCAGGAGGTTTGACATGGTCAATTTAAATGTGTATACATATGAGTACTCACTTGAAACTCATCAAAACATATTAACCAGGATTCAGCAGTAATATCAGCCGCCACAGGTGGGATAGGATCAAAGGGTTTGGAACCTTCATCTCTGAAGGAACTGGCCCCTTTGCCTGATTTGATTTTAAGTTCATGTATCCTTGAATGTATATTCAACATGAAGGAGTTAAAATGAACCCTCAGTTTTTCTTTTATCTGAAAAAATAATTAGAAAAAATCAGTTTTTTAATATGAATAGTTTCAATTTTTTTTATAGTGACTATACTGTTAACTTTTATGTATATATATTTTATGTGTAGGTAGCAAATATATTTAATAAAAATCACAAACATATATTAAAACTTACTGGAACTGTCTCATAAAATAAATCCATTAACATTGTTTTCCCACCACCAACACTGCCATAAATGTAAAGACCTTTTGGTGCAATAATTTTTTGTGGTTCCTTTTTTCTAAATAAACTAAATAATGATTCACCTATTTTAGGTTGAATAACAGGTCGTTGAAACACTGAAACTTCTTCATAGAGCTCTTGTAAGTGTTGCACCACCTTTTCTTGGTGAGTATCCTTGGACAACACACCATCATTCACTTTTTGCGAATATACTATCCAGGGACTATCACTTAGTTTTTGATTTGATTTTGCTTGAGATGACAATAACTTGAAGCAATGGTAACAGTAACTAAGAGACTTTGCACTGTTTTGGACATAAAATCCTCGAGCCAACATTTTTGAAGAAATGTAGTAGATAAATTATTGTGATAATTATTATATAAGTTGATATAAATAATTGTATTCTTATAGTTGTAGGTACTTTAGACGTCTGTGAGCATTTTAAATAAAAAGTGATTAGATGGTGCTGGGTGGAAGATAGAAAACTAAATAAAATATAAATAAGGGGCTAAGAATTTAACGTGATGAGCCTGATAACTGACCGTGAATGAAGAAATGTCATTGTCAATTATGACGTTGAATGTCAGATAAAGAAACTGTCAAAGGTTTTCGTTCCTGTTTAAATAATCACAAACACCTTAAGGCCATTTTACTTGATTTTTTTAAATTCAAATATGTAAATCAATATTAAATTATAGGATTAATGATATTCAAATGTTATGGCCTTCACACAAACGTCTATATCTATTCGATTTTTACAGGCTCCATCCATTCCTGATGTCCGTCGGGATACGTCTGTTTACACTATTTTTATTTTAATACAACATTTTTACGATATTTAAAGAACGAAAAATTATATAATCCAACTGAAGGATTTTAAGTATTGTTTTGATTCGGGTTAAGATAAGATGAGGTTTAACTAACGCTATTCCTTTTCATAAAATGTATACAAATTAATTTTATGTTCTTTCTAAAATATTAAAATCCACAAGTCTTAATGCGTACGTACTTTGAAAGTGTACTAGATTAATTAATTCTAAATTCTACGTACTTTTTCAAGCAAAAAATAAAAGTAAATGTGCGTTAAAACGACGAATTTCAGAAAAAAAAAAGTGTTTTTATTCTTTTTTGACATTGTTCCACCACTTCAAAAAATCTGAAAAGGGTATAAAATACATGTTCTGACAAATTTTTGTGATTGACATATTTCAAAAACCCTAAAAAAACAAGATTTTTGTTTTCTTTAATTTGTTAAAAAGGACTTTTCGTTTAAAAACGATGATCATACAATTTTTTTATGTTTTAACTCCTAAGAATTAGAAAAAAAAAATCACCATCGATTAACTCCGAATTTCAGTATAAAAATAAAATTAAAAAACAGTTTTTCTTGAATATCTCGAACGTCGTTCGAGGTAAAGGGCTACAAATTGGTGTGAATTATTTTCATTTGATGCCAAATCGATCCTCTAAGTGTTGGTCAAAAAAGCCATGGGGGCAGATTTCCTATACTTATCCGGCTATGCCCTTTCTTTGTCAAACGAATTAAATTTCAAACATCAACATAACAAATACCTATGTAATTTCAATAATTTTTTTAATTAATTTTCTATCCATTTGTGTCAATCATTTAAAAAGCCAATGTCTTTATTGTACTTACCCAATCAATAAGTGTAAGTATACAAAAATTTACTATTATATAAAATAGGTTACAAATAATACATGAAACTAATATTTTCGAATTTACTACGCGATTTTTATTTTTGATTATAAGCTACATACTACCGACGTTTCGGTTACTTTACAGCAACCGTGATCACAGGCAGACGAGATGTGAGTATCTGTCAGTCGGTCTATTTTTTTTTACGAATTACCTATACAAAGAAATTACAAATATTGTGTTAACCACACAATATTGTTGGTTCGAAAAATATATTAAAAAAAATGTTGTCCTATAGTTTTAAATAACTAACTTCGATCAAACAATTTATTGTGCTTTAAATATTATTGATATTAAGTACATTTTTGAATGGTAAAGAAAACTTACCTAACTGGGAAAAAGCAAAAAGATATCTGACAATATTTCTAGATCATATTTGTTTTTACATTTAAAAACCACATATAAATGAAAAGGTAAAACCAATTTTCTACAGAGTAACATCCTTCTTTTTTACATAGGGGAATAATAAACAATCAGATTTAATTGCTGTATAAAAAGTTGGTTTAAAAGATGTCAAGTATTGTTTCTATTAGTATCAAAAAAAAAGCTACATTCTCCAGTCTTCTGAAATTGATAAATAAAATCATACTTCGAAGATTATATTTTATAGGTACCTACTAAATATAAAACGATGTAATTTTACGTACGCACTGATAAAATATTTTAATAATAGAAAAAAATTTAGTAGGTAATTTTGTTAATTTTTTTTTGGTTTATAACCCAAATATTAAAAATATCAAAAGAGAATCATTTTCAAAAAAACTACCAAAAACTCTATTGGTCCTATACTCAAACAATGCACAATGGATACCACTACAACAATGCACTATCCTTCATGAATACCTAATGCTATCCGTATCCGAATCTTTTTACTTTAACATAAAAATAATATCCCATACAAAAAAACTAATGCCAATTACTACTAGTCAGCCCCAATTCCATTATTATTTAATCTATCAAAAAGAAAGAATCGTACAGAAGAAGTATAAGTTCAAAGTTGTTCAATTCATATTTACAATAAGGACGTGGGAACGTGCCATAAGTGTCAACATTATTTTTAACGTTATTATAAAAGAAGTGTCATGAGCAAATTATCCCACTTTGCAATAATAAAAATATCTTCAGAAAAGAGGATGTGGTCAAATTGAAATCGACGTCCTGAGTGCATTCATCTTGTAAGTGCATAATATATTGTAATCAGAGATCACGCATTATCATGACATCCTCTTTTTTTTATTTCAGTTTGACAGGGATGCGACAAGATTGAAAAAATATCAATAATCTGAAATAAGTGTTAAAATCGCTGCCGACATAATAAAATCAGCTTCATTATATCTTCCAGTATATGTAAAAAAATCTATTGTTTTTAAATTTCCAGCAATAACAAAACTCGTTTTCGATAAAAATTTAAATTATTCATAATACTCGAAAGCTATAACATCCCTAAATAAAAGCAGGACGAACATAAACCTTAACCGGCAGCTTCGCGTCTCGTCCGTTTAATTTACAAATTACTTCTTTTTTTCTGTCTGACCCCGGTATTGGCTCCTGGAAATTCGTCTCGACGTTCTTACGGCGTGCTATTTTCAACATAATACTACCCATCTCATGAGCACTGTTATAAAAGGTCATAATGACAGCTGTAAAGTTTTATGTTCACTAAGTTTTTAATGTAGAGCGGGGAACACATTAGGCAAAATGTTTTTTAAGCATTCGCTTAACATCTTATTATTTTAAATAAATTAATTAATATTTTAAGATTATTTTCACAAGAAGATAGGTAATTACTACAGAATAATATTACTAACTTTTCTTGAAATATATTGATACCGTTCGTTTACTTGACGCGATTAAGGAGGAAATCGATAAAATAAGTAATGGCTGATTTCTGCTTATAGTTTATACTTCCGCGACATAATTAACTGATTCCTGTATATGAAAGAAATATTATATGAAATGTTGTTGTCAATGTCAAGGTTACCTTCGGCGAACTGACCTACGGAACCTAAATTGCTCTTGAACTCACTCGCACACTGGCCTCAATTGCGCCCCGTCTAATGTCCCGGTTAACAACCTCTACTGTCAAGGTGTCTAGTGTTGTTTATTCAGTGGAAGAAATCATAAAATGATAATTCAAAATATAGAATACGTTATTTTAAGTCCGCGACGGTGGTTGACGTAAAATCCAGAACCTCGTTTTATTATCACCTTTCCCTTCTTGAATGAGGACAGTATTTTGCCATGACCAAGTGGAGCCCCTGACGCTTAGATGCATAGGTATGCTGTATGCATCATCCTAGGGCGCAGGCTCGTACACCCAGAACTGTTTTACTCAAACAAATACCAAATTTAAAACGACTTAAGACATATTCATTAGAAGACCTTATAACATATTATTACTCACAAATCATAAGCTCTATGTAACTTAGTGTGTTTATGAAATTGCAATGGCTTATGTACCTATAAGACAAATTATTTCTTATATAAAATTAAAAGAAAATAACAATGTTTTTCTCACACACAATTTTTTAAGCTTACACCATCCGTTTACACATGAATTGGACATCTCAATAAGAATAAATAAGTATTCAAATAAATCAAATTTATAGGTACAATACCAAAATTATATATTTTTATATTCAATATTATATTAAAAGAGTAATTTAATTGCCTGTAATGGTTTTATATTATTATTCTCAACCAATAATTAATTATGTCACAGACTATAAAGAATAATTGGATCTCACCGACCTACAGACTATGATCCGAATACAGTGCTGTCATTGTTAATCACTACAGCACCAATGTATGGTTCTCACGTTTTACCGTATTAACTTCAACTGATGATGAAAATTAAAGCATTTTTAAGTTTTAACTATTCAAAGTATAATTAAACGTCATCAAATCCGATCCCTGAGAAATTAGAATTGACACTGAAAGCCACTTTTTATAAGGTAAATGACCCAAATAAGGCCTACCTTAACTTTGTTATTATCTAACTAGCGGATTTATAATAACAATGCACTGGTAATTTGATATTACAATATTTATTTATTAAACTTTGTAATAAATCAAACAAAATTACTTTAGAAACAAAAATAACACTTTTGTGAACACAAATGACTAAAATATCACTTAGGCCATATTGGGAACCCTGTGTCTTAATAAGGCCTTAATAATAACAACTAAACATTCAACTTCTTATTGAATTCAAAACGTTCTCAATACTTATATTAAATCAAATGAGATCCCATTTATTACTTTTGATCATTATAGATAAGATGTAACGAGTTTCTTATCATACAAAAGTACTATATTCATCATCTGTGCTTTACGACTTGCTAATTCAGGGTGTCATTTAAGAAATAACCCCGATGTTACTAAAAAAAAACAATGGTTAACTATTTTACTGTGATACCTTTCTAACTGACATAAAACATTATCCTAAAAAGATCTGTACCAGTGCCGTTGTAAGGCCTATACATTTTTTATAGGCTTTATTAGGGCATAGCACATGGATAAACAAAACAACAATTGTATGGAATACACCGATATTACACCTTTTTCACTTATATGAGGAGATGACTACACGTATAATTATCCTATAGACAAAACACAGCACACCGTTTACGAATAAAAATGAAAATCCTTCATTTTTCCTCTGCTAGAATTTTATAAAAACAAGCGTGATCTCCGCGTCGTTGTTGTTTTCGAGTGCAGGTTCGAACCCGCTCGCGGCACGGGTCATTTGCTTTGCTTGTAGGTGTTAATTTATATACATGTACACATCTACAAACATTGGCGGTCATTTGAAATCGTGAAGTGGGAAATTAAAAAAATAGGCCTTATTAAGACATAGGCCTTATTTGGGTCACTTACCTTAGTTGGAAGTGTCATTAAGAACGACTATAACGTTAAGACTGCATACAGACTTTTAAAAAAATACGTAAAACATTATTTTCTTGTAAAATTTATATCTCTTTTTATCAGCCTGGGTTCGAAAGGTTAATTGCTTCTGTGAAAGCAAAATTCCAGATCAAACAACTTAAACTGTACAAATAATTATTTTAAACAAAAAATCTTACAAATAAGTTTGTCGATATTACTAAAATATTACTTTTCTAAAATAATTATTGTTTTGCGAGTCTTGAACAATATATTCATCTTCAATATTAGCGATTTCCATGTGATTAAGTGTTTATAATATTTAATACAAAACGAAGAATAGAACTGAAAGTGTTATAATAAACGACCAGCTAAGATTGATTCAAAATAATGCAGGGAGGTAATTATATTAATGCGGTTATTGGATAAAATTTTTGCAATGTCTAAGGGTGGTCGAAACATGCGGGCACAGCTGCAATCGAGATTCGCGTTAGATAGCTGTTGCTTCTATATATAGATGTTTGCAGCTCTTTTATAAACAGCGGATGCTGTATGCGTGGGCTTAAGATATCCGGACTATATAATATTAAGATACCATAGTATTTTACACTTCAAACACCAGTTAGCACGTAAATAAAGACAGTTTTATTATGGGTGTACTTAACATAATTTACGTCGAACGAGAAATTAATATCAGTTGAGTGTTTTATATAATAAAAATAACTGCAATTAAAGATAGATTCGACTATAAATACATATAAATTATTGCAAAGATATAAATATTTTTTTAAAACAACTTAAAAAAATATTTCTAAACTCTATATTGATTATATAAATAGCAGTAGAGAACATTTCTTTGTATTTAATGTACATAAAAGCGTTTTGAAATTGGATGATAACGTACTCCATATAAGTGATGATAAGATTCGATAGTCTGAGTGTGTAAAGCGAGGTTTGATTCCTAGCAATTAAGGTGAATGCGAGCAGCCAAAACAATCGATCGCTACAAATGGCAGGCCGTCTCGACTAAAGACACGCACACGCGGATAGTTCTGCCTACTACAAACATGATGACATCTTGAATTAAATTATATGATATGCAAATTGTTTAATATTACGTAAGTAGTTTGCTAAAAAAACATGCATAATGCCAAATATTTAACACATACATTTTTATCTATGATCTTAAAATTTCGTTATTCAAATCTTAAAACATGAATTGGTTGTGATAAAATTTATTCTTGCAATTTCAAAAGTTCGCATATGTGTCGCATTTGATTAAAAATAAATTGGTTGCGCTGTGCGCTACATACATCTGGCCAATCACTTTCTGAACAAAACGATATAAAAACGAGAGATTATAATATATAAACGTACGTAGCAGTGTCATGTCCTTGCTGTGTATGATAAGAAATGTTATTTATAAAAATGACAAAGTTCATACGCATCAACTAATTTGGCGACTCATCTGGTTTCGAACGGCCTTTCATTGCTCGGTTATTTCTTGAATATCAAGGATCATTTTTTATTTCAATGAATTAATTAACTCATATATTTACATGTACTAACATATTTTTATATAAAATGTTATGGTTAATTAATTTATAAGAGAGAAGGTAGTAACGAGTTTAAGGAAAATCAAGAATAAGAGATCTAACTAAATATACATTGGTTCTTTTTCCACACCACCATAGAGGTAAGAACCCGAGGTGCGCTTTTTTTATAGAGGTATCCCCAATAGGCCTAATCCTCTCGCTAGATGCTTCTGCAACCAAAACATTAACAAAAAAAAAACTCGTTCAATATTATCTAGCACATTATTAGATGTATCAGGAATTGTGTCACCCGGTACGGAGGCGGTGCGAGTGCACGGATATAACGAGTGAGTGTTTTAGGTGCGGTATGTTCGGCAGACAGGCAGTCGGCACACGACGCCTACACTAACATGACGGCTGTTCCGGCTGCTAACGACCTAGCCACCGCATTAATATGGGTCACAGGATTAATCTTATGACAATACACATATCACACTATTTATCTTCCACCAATTTCACATCCTTAACAAAATTTTTATCTATTTACTTTTTTATATTGTTTAGCGATGTTTATTTTGTTTAACAAATAATGTAATATAACTCACTGTGCAATTTTTTTTAATCGTATTATTTTATACAACCCCGCAAAAGGTTTTGTGGTGGCGGCCACTCACCTTTTAGCATGATCAATAAAATAATAGATTAAAAACCATTTAAACGCCTTTCATACAATCACGATTCACGACAAATACATACATTAAACAGTGAGTATATTACTTTATTTATACAAATAAACATTAGTATGTTCTATTTATAACTCTTTTAGGATGAGTTATTGATAATAATTATATTGTGTCATGAACTTATTTATATCGAAAGCAACAATTCACATTATTGAGATAGGAATGAGACTTGAGCTGTATCTGCACAAAGCTTGTCTAAGTTCGCTAAGGGTGATTTATCAAATATAATTAAATAGTGACGATGAAATAAATTAAGGAGAATTATACATAGATGTATTTTTTAAATTCTGACGTTTGTGACACTCACCAGCACAAATTTTTGATGTTACGTTGATTAATTATATATGTGTATTCTTATTTTTATCTGTTTAACTAGTTCAATTGTAAAAAAGTAGGTATAGTTTATTTTCTCAGAAACATATAACAATTTTTAATGGCCATAATTATTATTAAATTCAAAAAACAAATGGGACAAAGTTCGACTCGTTTGCCACAGGACTTGGTAAAATATGTACCTATTATGTTAATAAAACAATTAAGAAAAAAGTAACATTCGTATAAAACTATCTGTAATTTTTTCAAATACTTGTAAATTTTAATAACTGATACTTATAAAATTTAATATCGGTATGTATCTTTTAAACAATATTTTATTATAATTTTTTCAATTAAATTATTTACCGTAACTAGCACCCACGACGAAAAATTTATTGTCGCTAGCAAAATATTCAATGTAGACAACGTTATTAATATACATGTTTAGACACAAATTGTTATTAAAATTAATAAACTTCAGGGATTACACAACGTTAATAAATACAATAAACGTCTGCTAGTGTTAAGATTCGTCTCGCTTGACTATCGTGAGTGTTGTATCAATATTAGTGAGTCGATCTCTCGTGTCAGAGCCGTCAGGAGTTGTTATCAGCTGCGGTCGAAGCCCCTCAGTTTCAACGTATTACATATTTGCATGCACTTAGATAGCCTCGCATGCATATTACAATTATGGGACACCTTTACTGCTTCTATAAGTTCTATGTCAAAGTTAAAGCTACTTGTTATATCGGAGCATATTGAACACTTTGCCCTCACCTCATTACACTTGTGTAATCTAGTCATGATTTTCGTCTATTATTAGGATGTATCGGTTTCATTAAATTACAAATGTACAGTAAACCCTTCCATATTAATATTCTAAAGTTGTTAGAGGCCACCACGATAGAAATCTAACTAAGAGACAATGGCAAACTACCTAAGACATGTTCGACTCAAACGATCTTTTGCTAATTAAAATTGGCGATGCGTGAGGCGATCACGGAGTGCCTTACCCACTTATAAGCTGCACACGTGCCTGTCAATGAACTTTGTAGTCTAAGTTAGGCGAATAGTTGTTCGCACGTGTAGTTCGCTTTCTGCTGCTGCTACTATTACTATGCGCACTCCGCTCAGCCACAGAACTATTTGGTGGCCATCAATTCACAGCCTCAACAAGACACTCAGTACAGACGGAGCCACTGTGACCGTCTTTATAACCTACTTAGACCGGCCCGCAATTAATAGACTTACATATAGGCATATCGCACATCGCATACTTCTATTTATCCTAGGGGCAACGAACTTGACTCTTTTACGGGAATATGAAAATTAGTCCATATACGAGATGGAAAAAGGTAGAACATTTGTACTAACGGGCAAACACGAGGACATTATCGGTCCGAGCGAGAAAGTCATCCTGCTCAGTGTGAGTGACGAAGGAGCGGGAAGCGGCAGGAGCGTCAGCCTGCACCCCCGGCGGCGGCGGCCGGCGCTCGAAGCGCTCCATGAGGTCGGCGGGCACTCGCGGCAGCTGGCGGCCCGTCGTGTTCGGGGCCTGGGCGAAACCCAGCTTCGCCAGCAGGCTCTCTTTGATGACTCGCAGACTGTGCTCCCGAGCGTTCTCGTAGGAGCGGCAAGAGGCGCACACGATCTGAGCGGCCGGCGGCTCCTGCGGGCAGGCGAGGTCGGCCGCGACGACCGCCAGCCACGCAGCGGCCAGCAGCAGGCTCGCGGGCCTGGCCCGCGGCCCGCGCGTCGCGCCCAGCGCACGCGTGGTACGGCAGAGCGGGGAGGCGGCGCGTGCGGCGTGTCGGGAGCGGACGTGTGCGGCCGCGGGCGGCGCGTGCGACACTAGCGACTAGCGGCTAGCGGACCGGCTCTCACACCCGCAGACCCCACGCCCGCCCGCGTGCTCGCCTCGTGACTCACCGCGCCCGCCGACTAACAGAAAAACGGAAAAACGCGCCCACCGTGCTTCACCGCCCGCCCCATCATCTACCGACGCTCACGACTACACTGGCCGTTACTACTTCTCGGTCCCTTTACCACAGCGATGCGATTACTATATGGAACAAATAATTATTATCATTCGGACTAATTTATTATTTAGTTAAAGTTTCATTTAGATTATATATTTATTGATTAAAATTTAAAGAAACAACAACATTCTTACGTCTTTATGACTATTTGACATCGATCATAAAAGATATTAAAATATGTAATCACTTGAAAGACGTCAGTGTACAAACATTGATAAAAAAACTTCATTCTCTTACTTTTTAATTATGAATAAACTCTTATAAAGTATGTAAATTATATTATACAACTTAATATCATTAATGATGTAAGACCTCGAGGCCGTCATAATCCCAACAACAATGCTTGAATTTAAATATTGAATTAGTCTTTATATAAATAAAGTCTGTTCAGTTTCGAATATTTTTATCATATAAACAATTTTAATACATGCAGAAAACATTTTTCACCGATATAATGTATAGACTTTCCCAAAAACGGTTGAGGTCAGTCAGGCGGCCGCTCGTAAAAACAAATAGCCAAAACTATTCACAATATGTAAGGCAGACCCTGGCTATAGCTGGAAAATTGCCAGGTAGAAGAAGAAGACAATGTATCGTTGACAGACAATAATATATAAAACTACATATTTTCAATATATTAATTACATAAAGCAGAGGACATAATAACACATCGACAATACATACATTTAAAATATAGTTAAAATTAATAAAAGACAAATTTATTACAAAGTAAAGGATATTATGTTCTATGTTTAGTATCGCTCTTTACTTTTAAATAATATTGCCTCAAATCTCGAAAGTAGTTACATACTCATAACATATAAGTACTTTATTGTACTTAAGTATAACGTCTAAATTATAGATACCTATTCTTAGAAGCAGTACTTTTTCTCTGAAATACCTAAGTTACCTATAAATTATCTAGTTTATTCATTTTAGAAACTCGAACGGCTGTATTCAATCGATTATACAAGAATGTTTAAATATTTTGACGTTACCACAAGCAAAAAAGATCGAGATAAAACTAATCGTAAAGTTTATATTAAACAGTTTTACGGACCAGCAGTTTGTTTCGGTACATTATATTTCAAATGCTTCATGCTTAAATTATATCATATTTTAAATATACGACTCTCCTATTTTTGTTATATTAAATCATTGTGTAATTTTTAAAACAAAAAATACAACAAAGTTTAACAAAATGAATGTTCGTCTGTAATCCTGTCGATAAACGATAATGTATTTTAAAACTAAGAATAGTTATTTTATTTTTATTATTCAAACTACATACAAATACTTACGTATATACCACAACTACAAATAATTTATCTTTTCATAAATGTCATAGTTCAATAGTTAATCCATCTAAATACATTTGTTTTGTTTGTACTTCATCAACGTACTTAACATCAACTTCATAGCAACAAAGAGGTTGTGTATTTGTTATTTTAAAATTAATAGTTTTCTAAAACCAGCCAACAAATTTTATATAATAAATTACCTACCTACATAATTTTAAAATACCCAGGTACATGAATATAGTTACGTACATAAATTTACGATGCATAAGAAGCACTACATCTGTTTTATTTCTAAAACTACAGTACATAGGTAATTTACATTTCCCTGTATTAATAAACTAAGTGAATAACAGCATTTTTACTATAGATTTGCACCTGTAAAAGCTATTTTGAGAGCTTTTAAAGTTTAAAAATATATTCAGTGTTTTATAATGTTGCAAGTATTAATGTGTTGCATGGCACTTTCAAAAAACGTGTTAAAATATACAATTAAAATAATGCCACCTCATTGGTGGTCGAAGATAACGATGACAGAGTTTTTTTATTTGCATGGATAATTAATAAAAGTGACTGCAATAAGATCATAATATATTTTTTTCTAATACTTTTGTTTATAATTTGTAAAGTAACGTGTTATTAAAAAATATGTTTTATATTATTTTTTGTTGTCTACACAAATTGATAACTAGAATGATCGTGTCTGCTTTGGCTAATAAAATGACCACTTTAAACTAAATGCTTATGAATGTATAGACTTTTGTATAGATTTATATGCCAAAATAACTTTTTTTTACAATTTTTGTCTGTGTGTCTGATTGTTCCTGTAAGGCTCTGGAACTGCTGGACTTATGATATAAATGGGACTTTTACAAGTTGATGGATGATATAATAAGGAGTAGCTTAGGCGTAATAATTTTAGTAATTGTTTTGATTTATAGATATCAATAATAAAACTACATTTCAAAAAAACAAATTAAAGTATAGGTACTCATCAGTACAATCAAAACTCAGTAACAAAAATATGTGTAATTAAAATAATATGTTTCTTTCAAAAATTCCAATTTTTTCCTTTCCGTCAAACAGAACAAAATGAAATAATATAAGCCGAAGAGTAGGTACATACATAAAGTTTGCGTATATAACCCGAACGTACATAACTCGAAGAGTAACATACATAAGCCCCTCACTTGAAGAAATCGTTTAAATCTAGTATTTGATTTTGTATTTAAATATGCTTAAATATTGTTATAGCTTTCTTTATACATTAAAAATACAAGATTTTATGACAAAAATTACGTTGCTGTTAAAACTTTTAATATTAATATTACATGCTTGTGTTTATGATTTGTAAAAGACCACAATATCTTCTTTAGATGTATTATATTTATTGTATACTAGATTCATGTTATTTAAGTGGGAATTTAAAAATACGAAAATAAATTCAGCAATCTTATATTTAAAAACATTAAAGTGGGTTCATTTAGGAATTTATTTATATGTGGATTTTATTGTAACGAAAGAGACATAGTTTATTTACTACTAACTCGGATCTAAAAAAAACTCGGAGCACTTTTCAATGTTATTCATAAGTCATAACTTTGCCTGTGGCAACTTTCAGTTATAATGTTAAACGTCTTAAATAATACAAATATATATAAATTTAATGTTAAAAATTATATGAAGTATAATTAAGACTACAAAATATCGTTCACTTTGTTTTCTGAATGAGTCAATAATCTAGTTAAGTTTTAAAAAAAACAAATTGACATCTGCATGATTGACATAAGACATTTGACATTTATGTAATTGTAGTTGTACCTATACCCAATGTAAATAAAGAGACATGACAGTTGTATAAACGATAAAGTTTAAGAAAGTCTTTAATAACAGAAAGTAATGGGATCATGTAGATTATGTTTACTTAAAAAGAAATATTTACATTCAATACATGATTTGTACCGAGACATTACTTACCTTTCAATGTTGAACTATGTTGCGAATATAAAGGTTACAATTACTTATTTTCCTTTGATTGTTGTATTTAATATTTTTAATTTAAACATGATTCATTTCTATCAAATACAAAATTGAAATTATGTCTACGAAGTATTACTTATTTTATGGTAAACTATAATAATTTCTTTATCATAAACAAAAATGTACAAAACATTTAATCAACGAATTTTACTTTAAGGTTGCTAAAGGAATCAACGACAGTATTTGCTCATTATGCTGCCGAAAACTTAGAGCTAGCTACTTTTTTAAGAACTTAATTATCAGGTTAGAAAAAATATTTATAATTTAAAACTCCTAAAAATTTTTTTCAGCAAAAAGTATATGGATAATTCAAATTTAAATGATTATTATCATGACAATACTTTACATCATTATTAACAGTAATATTTTTTAAGTTGAGTAATGTTTCTATTAGCACATCCCTATATAATTATACAGACAATTAAACAAGGTCTTATAAACTTATTAAGGGTCTCCAAGAAAAAAGAGATTTAATTTTTCTAAATAACGACCAGTCCCCTGAGGAATCACTGGTATGACCCAGTTCTTATCAGGGACCAAATAAATTAGAAATAGCTTTTAGTCTACAGACAAGACTTTAGACCTTTTTTTTATTCTAATGCTTAGATTATACATTTGGCTGGCTTATACTAAAAAATAAATGCACTTGTAGTTTAATAAGTATTTGGAAATGTATAATAAAATTAAAGTAATTTAATTTTTTTTTGTACCCATTTTTTTGTATTGATTCAAGGACAGAAGTTTAATACTTGAAATTCACTACACCCTTTTCAGGTCTGAACAAGTATTAAATGTAAATTCAAAAATTATAAAATTTGATTCAATAAAGGATGTTGAACCAATTTTATTTAAAAATATTATTAGAGATCCTCAAAATTGTACTCATATGAAATATGGTCACTTATTCAAAGAAAATAATGAGTCCACTGTATATAATAACACCATAATTAAAAGATTGAAAGGAGATAACAAACCAAAAATGGAGGAAGATATTATGTTAATGACGAATGAAAACGAGGCTAATGTAGGAAATGTATGGTTTTTTATTTTAATTATTTTTAATTATCAGTATTGTCATATACATGTAATAGAACTTAAACAAAGATATTGTTTTAGAAATACAATAATGATTACAAATACAATTCAGGTGATGAAGAAATCTGTAGAAAAAGAAAGAGAAATAGAAAAGGTTTTTATTATAATTTTTTTTTTCTTATCTCATTATGGTTAAGTTTTTTTAATAGTTGTAAATAAGTCTTTCGATATTCCAGATGAAAATAGTAAAGAAATGGTATCAAAGAATGTTTGCATTAAGCCTAAACTGTTAGAAGGTTACAGGATAATTCCTTGTAGGAAAATAAAAAATCCTAAAGATATTAAGAAAAGTGTAGTTAAGAGAGAAGATATATGTCCACACTGCGGGAAGAAAACTCAATCCATGAAAAGTCATATACTTGTGCATACAGGTACATTATAATAATAAAACAGAATTTTTTTCACAAAAACTTTAAGCATTACTATAGAATTATAAGAGTTTTGATAATCAAATCAATTTTATATCAAAAAAATATTAATATTAAATAGTATATTTCAACTAATATCTAAGTTTCATAGATGAACAAATTTGAATTAATTTCAGAATTAATACATGTAACTGTAAGTTATTTAGAATGTGTTATTATTTTTAATTTGTTATTTTAAATAGATTATATCTATAAAAGGTTTCAGGTGAACGTAAATTTAAGTGCAATGACTGTGAGAGAAGATTTTATTCTAAATATGGTTTGAAACAGCATATTAAGTCTCATTCTGATAGTTGTACTGTTAAATGCGATAAGTGTATAGCAGCTTTTAAAACTGAAGGAGATCTTAAAAGGTAGGTATACATATGTAATTCTTTATATATTTATTTATTTATTTTCTTTGTACACATCTATAAATGTTACATAAAAGTTGAGCTTAATACATTTTATGCCATTGAATGTTAGGGATGTAAAATAACAAAAGGTATGTAAAATAATGAAAATAAAATTAAATAATAAATGTAATATTATATTAAATGCCTTAATATAAAGAGACAATATTGAATATTGGTGTTTGTGTTTCCTTAAAAAGTGCTTCTTTATTTTACAATTGAAAGTATTTTGTGACAGATCCTTAAAATAGATTCTAGTTAATTGTTTGAGACTTGTGTAGATGTCATTAAATGAAGTGATATTTTTATGTATCCCACTAATTGTGTTAATCAATTTAAAACATAAATATAGATAAATACAGCTTAAAACATTTTCTTATATTGTTTATAATTTTTCAGACATATGCTTACACATACAGATGTCAAGGGGTATACATGCAATATATGTGACAAATCCTTTAAAAGGGTAAGGATCTTTTTTATTTTTGATGGAATTTATTCTCTTGATACATATTACATGAGATGCAAAAAATATAAATGTATTGTTTATATTATTCTGATTCAAAATTTCAAATTTTCCAGAAATGTGGCTTACAAAGACATATACTAATACACTATACCGGTGCTAAGACCATTCTCTGTGATATTTGTAATATGTCATTTTTTAATAAATACTCTTTAAAAACACATTTGCGTGTCCACACGGGAGAGAGACCATTCAAATGCGAGGTTTGTTACCATCATGTGTTATTAATATCTAACAATAGAAAATATTGTGTATTATCAAACTAAGCATTTTGAAGTTTAACTCAGTTTTTTGCTCAGTTATGGAGTGACTTCAGTTACTGAGTCGATTTAAGTAAGAAAATTAAGATATAATCTTAACGTTATTTATTTGAAAGAGTTTTTAGTACGAGATATATTGCTTATAAATTTTTTTCAGTTGTGCTCTCAACCATACAGTTATAAACGGGATTTCAACAGACACTGTTTGAAAAAACACGGTGTTATTCTAGATCGTAGACCGATACATGTAATGAATGAGGAGGTTTTGAAGCATGAGAAGGCTCTCATGAAAGATCTGATGTTGTATATAAAGGGTGTTCCAACAGAGAGGGAGCCACTGGACGCGTTTTGTGGCCCACAAGCGGCTCAGGCTTTTGATAAAGCGGTTGAGGTAATGAAAAAATATAACATACCAGTGGAAAATGAAAATAAAGAAAGTGATAATAAATAATTGAACGAGTTTTCATTTAATGAGATGTTAAATTATCGCAAGTATTCATTGAAATGAAACTAATATTTTTTCGGATTTACTATTCGTTTATAATTATTCTTATAAACACTTTGCAGTTCGCAGCAACTACAGATTACCGGTAACCGAAACGTCGGGAGTAGGTATGTGTTAAAAATAATTATATCCGAAAAAAATATCAGTTTTATTTCCATTTTTCATTATTGAAATAATGTGTTTACCTTATATTAAGCTTTTTCTAATTAAATTTAACTTCTGAGAAGTAAATACATGGTTTTATTACATATTTGAGTTTTACAAATTAATAGTTTCCAATAACTTCCAATAGTCGCTAGGTATTAATATAAATTATTTATCTGTCACTTTCCTTGGAAAATCATTCATTTATAAGCATTAAATATTTTTGAAATGGTTCTGAAGTAAATTTGGAAAACTTTTTAAAAGAAACAAGACTATTCCAGTGCAGAAAATCCACACAATTCCTCCTACAAGATGTCAATAACTCTATTAATATGTAGTGATATCTTAATAGTAAACCTGATACCTTATAGAAAGAATAGATATCAATTACAACACCTATTTTCACCCTAATGGAACTATTCACAACCTTTCAATCAAATCACAATATATAAAGAGGAAAAACAAATTCTTTCGCCATTCAAACAGCTAGCCGCCATCATGGTAAGATAAAATATTTTTTCGTACATACACTCTTATTATATTTTTAATTATTATTTTATTACTGTAACTATATTCAATGTTACAGAGAAAAATATCGATTATTTATCTTCAAATCAGTGTAGCAGTCGTGATAACTGTTCAGTTATTACTCCCAATACTAGCGTTTAAAAAGACGTCCAATGTGGATCAATTTTTGGTGGAAAATCAAAGAACGCGGTTGCGACAGAACTATATAATGCAAAGAGCATTAGATAGCGACAATGATGACAAATTTGACATAACATATGTCAAAGCACCACTGGTTAATAAGAACAACCCCGAAGAATTGCCCGCTCTCATCGTTGACTATGCTAACATGATTAGAAACGACATTATATTGTTGGACAACTCGGTAGAAACACGGACTAGAAAGAGGGGTAATATAAAGGTAGAAAAATATGACGTAAGTAGTAAGACATAAGGTTTAATTTTTGAACAACACAGTAAACAATAACCAACCCGTAATTTTCTAATAGCAACAACGCAGTGCTCGCGACATACCTTGCAGTTGCGAGTTAGAAAGCGTAAGTAAAATTAATATTAATCAACGATATTATCATTAATTTATTTACTTCGAAGTATAATAATTCTTACTTCTAGCGAGAACCGATCATATTAGGCGAGGATTACATTCCACGATCGCTTGAATCGAGAAATTGCAACATAAGACTTTGTCCATCGTTTTACGCATGTCAACAACGTTCTTATAATGTAAGTATTCTTTGTATAAATTCTCTTTTAAAGGAAAAAAATATATAAAATTATTAACCGTTTTTCCATAATTTTAGATAACTGTCCTTAAAAGAAGAAGACACAACGACAAATCTGTGGAAGAATTACCGGATGAACTAAAATCACGATGGGTTGCTGTTAAGAAGCCCGTCACTATTGGATGCGTTTGTACAAGAGACAATGTTGATTTTGATTGAACATAGAAAAAAAATTCGGAATGAAGCTTGCAGGACTATAGATTATTTTATTTAAATCGTGTTTAATAATAATCATAAAGTATTGATGTCTTTTAGTAAATATAAACCTAATTAAACAGAAGCAAAGCTGTTTATTTATAATCAATGAATCTTTAATATTAGATACAAAATAAAAAGCATTTTATTTTATATTATATTTAAATATTTTTATTAATAAAAACTAACAAATATTTACATTTCTTTGTTAAATTATAATGCACTTCGGTTTCAAAGAAAACAAAAATACACTTCTTTATCTTTTGCTAACTTAGCACATTTACTAGACTAAATATGCTAAGTATAAGGAATATTATTAATTAAACGTAATAAATCATCAACTTTGTTTTTTATTCAAAAGAAATGGGCAGTTTAATTTATTAATCACAGATACGTCTTATTTTTTTTATGCTCTGATAAAAAATCTATATCATTAAAATGCTTCACTATTGTTGTTGGGTCCTCAATACATCACATTCATACTAACAATTCGAATAACTCGACATTCATATTAAAAACTATAATTACAAATTCAAATAACATTTACTTAATTGTATAATGTGAAAGTACATTATTATTGTTTTTAAGGTTTCAGACATGTTTAACTCTTTAAATCTTTTGGGAACTATCTGGTGATATGATAGATACTCTTCTTATAGTTTGCCCCATTAATGTAGTAAGATGAAATATATTCAATTTGAGTATGTGGGCTTTTTTTTAATGTCAATTTCAATTTTATCTTTAAAACATATTACAAAATGTTTTTGTCTGTAAATAACGTTTTGTATTCGGAAAATATATTTGCTTCAATTTCACTTACTGTTTGTTTAACATAAAATAAAAAGTATAGTTTACATTTTTTATCTCCTCTCATTGGCCTACTATTCCACACCTATAATATGGAACTTCAAATTCCTCTCATGTAAAAGGAGCTTTCAACTAAGGCGATACTCTTTATAGATGATAATAATAACATGACTCATGTTATTTTTCTGTTCCAAATAGTATTTTCTTCATTAATTTGTCCCTAGCTGTATAATATATGTCACTAGACTGTGAAGTCAACAGTATGATGAACGGTCTCATGTGCAGCGGGTGTAGGTACATCTGTCATTCTATCAAGATGTGGCATCATCTGCGCGACCGCAGCCTCACTTGCTAATCCCAGTTCGCGACGTAGAACCTCTTCAGTTACAGTGTGAATGGATTTGAACTTCAAATTGATACCGTGCACTTTGTATACGTGGTTATTAAGGTTCACTTTATAACTGAACGCGACGTTGCATATCTGGAAGGTTTAATGACAATTAAAGAAATTATGAAATATAAGGCAAATAAAGAGGCCTAGGATAAGCGAACTCTTTATAGAGAAAAGAACTTTCAATGTTATTTAAGTCTGAGAATTATCTTTTAACCAATGTAATGATAGTTTACTTTCAATATATGATACAAAAATATTATTATTTTCAAGAACAGGGCTATCATTTAAATTGTAACTTAAATAATTATAACGATTCAGTAAGCTATATTTGCATGAAATTATTGTAGTTTCCTTACACGACCTTTCAAGCGACTCAACTGACTAAACCAAATATTATATCAACTAACCTGACATGAAAACGGTCTTTCTCCTGTATGCATTCTTTCATGGTTCTGTAACTGATGTTTAGCGTTGAAGGACATAGCGCATGTCCCACACTTATACGGCTTATAACCAGCATGGATACGAAGATGGCGGTTGAGATCACAACGCTGTATAGAAGAAAATTGTAACAATAATTTTTATTTGTAAAAAATGTCTCGTGTTTTGTTCGTAATATTTATACCTAATATTCGTAGGAAATATATAGATTATAGACAATCTTTGAATCGCTTAGTGGTGTCCAGCAAGAAATAAATCTACAATAAATACACCCAATAATTTTATTGGATAATAAATACGTGCATAAGATTTGTAGTTCTGCCAGAAATTGAGTTAAAACATTTTTTAACTTTAAAATCCCACCCCATCCCCACTTCCCGAACTAGGATCGCCCGTAATTTATTTATTCTGTTATTTTTATCATATTTCCATCCTTGTCTAAAGGGTTTCACACTACTGCATTATTATTTTTTTAGTTTCAAAAATTATAATCCAACTGGGGCTACATATGTATTATCAATTTTAAAGTTCTATGCACAGTTAGGTGTTACATTGAAATTTGTTAGCACCTATTATCAGTCTCTTAATTACTTAGAGATTATAAATTTTTACTACTTCAGTGAGAACAGATGAAGTTACTAGTTAGTTTGTTTTATATTATGTTATACAACTGCTCCAATTAAATTTCTTAAAAATCGAATCGAAGAAATGAAATCCTTTTTATAAATCTTATAATTTCAAAAGACAATAAATTCTGTATACAAGTTCTTAAGATGTAATAAAAACATTTGATATTGATACTTACTGCAATGAATTTTTTAGAACATAAATTACACGGGAATGGTCTTTCTCCTTTATGTATGAGATTATGCCTGGAAAAATAATGATATTATAAAAAACATATCTACTTAAATATACTATTAAATGTTTAATTTATGTATTTTATTACCTTGCTAATGATTTCTGTGTATAAAACCCAGCTCCGCAAACTTCACAAATATGATCCTTGACTCCATTATGTTTTTTTAGATGCACCAATAAATTACTCTTTTGCACAAATGACCGAGGACATTCTGAACATGTGAATTTTTTCTTTTCTGCAATCAAATATTAAAATATTTTGTTACTAGTTAGAAGAAATATGTGATAAAACAATGTTTTTTTTTTATATTTCTCTGTAAAAAATTTGTAACTATATATAATTCGCTCTTAATTATCATAACTTTATAAAAAACTAAGTAAGAACTAAATATATGCAACAGACAAAAAATTGTTTACATATTAGATTTTATTAAAAGATTTAATCAGATTGTTTTATAAATTGTACATAATTCTGAATTTGTTTAAGGATTTAAGTCAGATTTAATATAAATAGTACATTTATGGGAATATTTAATATTTTCTTTCAGTTAAAAAATGGATCTTTAGTTTTATTTGCTTAATAATCCAATTGCAGTCCCACAGAACACAAAAGCCTCAAAGAAATTAAATGTAACAATAGTTTCAAATTTTGAACACAAAAACAAAATGAATACCTTCATGAGTAGCTATATGGTTGCCTAAACTGAATGTTAAGATTCCACAAATAGGACAAACAAGTTTTTCTCTCTCTTTCAAAACTCCCTTTGGATTATTAACTCTTCTTAAAGTACCATTGCTTCTTGCTGGTCGATCTTTCGGTTCTATTTTGGTCTGATAATTTTTCTGAATTTTTAAAACTGTTAAATCCTTTGGCCTCTTGAGAAGTACAGGTGGTCCTCTTACACCACTTTTATTAACTGGATCTGAAAGAAATACACATCAAGGTATAAATATGTTACAATATCAATTGAGCATCTTATTTGGTAAATATTTAAACAGGAGATTTACAGTTCACAGTAAGAAAATTGCACACTTATGATATCTATAATAGAATAACCGATATTATATCTGTATCAATAAGCAAATATATTTTTTAAAAATATCAGTCTGTGTAACTTAAAAACATGGGATGGTTGATAACATGATTATGTATAGAGATTGGGAAACCATATTAAAAAAAAATATTGGAACAAAATAGCTACAATAATATAAACCTTTGAAAGTCTAATTGATGGATATATAAATAACATAACATAAGGAATAATGACATATTATGTATGAAATGAAATATATTTAAAAGTATAAAATACTCACAACATGTGATTGTAGTTGTCTTTGATTTCATATCACCAAAATAATCATCATTTGTGTCTTCATCATTTATTGGTTCTTGTTTGTACTGTTTTATCACTTTTACTTTCCTTACAACCGGTTTCTTGGCTTTAAAAACCTTTATATCTGCCAATGTCGGCTTCTTAAATTTACTCTTAGTTTTTTCTACTGGAGGCAAATAATCATCATCATCATCGTCACGGAATATATGATCGTCAAGAAAATCTGTCTGGAATATTACAATAATTATAAAGTTAATAGAAATGAGTGAGATATATAAAGATATTTTTTATTGAGGTTTCATATTAAAAAAAAATTAAATAAACTAACAAAACCAAACATTAACTACCAGTTGACATTGTGAAATTAACAGTAAAACTATGTCTGAGTACAAAATTTAAGTTTCGAAATAGGATGAGTGAGAAAAAAGTTTAAAATATAACTAAGAGTCAACTTTAGAAGAAAATTTCTATGAATAAAAATCCTAACAATGCAAATGCTTTAAAGCAGGAATTTTCAAAGTAATATACCCCATTTGGGTCAAAAATAGTTAACCAGGGATGAAAAAAAAAATGGAGGAAATTATAGCATTGGGGCAGTACATTTCATAGTAGTGATATTTTGTCTCAAACTGTTTTGGAACCCCTGAATAAATAGTATAGCAATTATTTTCAAGTGTAGAACATCACCGAACTAAGTTATATGAGTTCAAAATGTCACTTTTGAGATTGAGTTTTATTTTCATAAAGGTTTTATTCTTACATCAGAATCAAAGTTCTTGCTCTCATTTGATGAACTGAAATCATTGTTTGAATCAACTTTTCTTATAACAGTATCGGCAATAACAATATCTCTTCCTTCGATAGTTTCTATTATTGGAGCTCCTGTTTTATTGTTAACTTCAATTTCCATTTCCCATTTCGGTTCACATTTCACAGTCAGAGGTCCAATTTCACTTTTAATATCAGTAAAGGAGTCAAATGCTATCTTTTTTGTTGGTAATTTTTCATTTGCTTTTGCAACTAATTGCCTCAGTTTGCGATCTGATCTGAAAGAAACAATTACAAGACTAGTATCAAATTAATGTTTTAAATTCAGGGTTTAGAAGTCAAGGATGTAAATTTTGTGATTATTTTTGTTTTGCAGACAAAAGATTTTATGCAAATATTACTTTACATGCATTTCATTAAAATTGCTATAATTATTTTTATAAAAACCAAAATTTAACAACAAAAAATATGTGAATTACATTTATCAAAGAGTAATTGAAATTTCACCACATTTCAATCAAAGATGATTGTATTATAATTATGAATATATTCAATAATGTTATCTCTTATGTAAATAAAGGCATATTTTTCAATTTTCATTATTGTACCAATGGTAAAGAAATTTTGTTCCAATATTTATTTTAATGACTTAAAAGTAAACAACATTTGAATGTTTCAATTTTCCCTCTAAAAAATTGTAAGTTCATTTCACTTAGACTTGATGGTATTTTTTTGTGAGAGTATTCAAACTAAAACATTTTTTTTAATTAAAATTAGCAACTTACCTTTCAGCAACAGTTTTAATAATATAAGCTTTTTCTAGAGCTGTGCAACATTTGTGGCAAATCTTTTCAGGAAGCCCATCGTTTGAACATACCTAAAAAATAAAGTATAAGGAAGGTAATTCCAAAATTTCTGTTAAGATTATTTTCTATCTTATAATTGCGGTTTTTGTATTTTGCTTACCTTAACATCGGCAATAGCTGTAAGCATTTCTGCATAGTTACCGGATAACTTATATTTAAAAAGAGGACATAAAGACCTCTTATTTGACAAGCATATTCGGCATGATTCATAATCTATTCCAGTAATGGGATCTAACATTTTCAAAATACCAATTTGTAAATATTGAAGTGATGCAAAATCCGTAACATAAAAAATCGTCGAGTCTATCTAGTGTTAAAGGGCTTGAATCTTCGTGTCGATGAAAAATCCACGACAAAACAGTATGACAGTTATAGAACTGAAGTGGCCATTGTCCAACTCTATAAATAAGCGTGAACCGATTTTAAGCGAACATAATCGATAACTACTTTAATCTTAACTTAATATCAGTAGTTAAAATAGCAGTTAAGAAAGTCAAAGTGTAGATCATAAATATTAGCCTACAAAAGAAATTTTGATATTGTTAGAATAATATTCGACATCAATCACAAAATTGAAAGTTGCAACATTTAGCATTATTTGTTTTAATTTTGCTTTGGATAAGTAAAAGTAAGATATATTCATATAAATGAAATTAAATAAGTTTTTATATTTAACTGGTTTGTTTATCATACTTTTGTTATTTAGTTACAATAATATTTAAAGTTTCAAATAACAATAACAATTATTAATCGATGACACTGTAATCGTTACTAAATAATCGATATAATGATTCTGATGTCCCATCAAAAGAAAAATTTATAGATGATTATAGTTGTTAAGACAAATTTAATAGCTCTTAATATTAATGTAATTATAATTTTTTAAATGTTAGAGTAAATAAAAATTACGCAATTTAAAAATATTTTATTTTATTTACTCATTCATGAGAATGAACACTCGATTATTTTTTGTGTGTCAACCACAGACTATTTTAATTGTCAAATCAAAATGCAATGCGTCCTACGTTAACAACAACTAAAAACGCATTTTTCGTCTGTGTCTCGATTATTTTTACAAGAATTTACAAAATATAGATATTTAATTTGCTGTTCGTAGAGATATTTATATCCTTATAATCTAATATAGTTGCATCGTAAAAATGTTATAATGGCCACCTTTGAAAATAGATTGAGTCGCAGAAAAGGTAAATATTTTTAGTTAGTTCGTTTATTTCTTAATTGTTTGTCTCGGAAGAGCAAAAATAATAATGTATAACGAGACCGACGATAGACCAATATTTAAGTACGGTGTTTTGAAAAAACATTAGAAAGAATCGATATAATTTCAGGTAAACATGGAGGCGATACTTATAGGTTAGACACTAAAAATAAAACACCTGAAGAAAATATAATAGAAATAGTGCAAGGTCTTTATATAAAAAAGACATTCCACAATGATACCTCACCTACAAATAAGAACCTTCCTCCTGAATTCAGATCAGGTTTTAGGATTCAGAAGAGTGGTTCTGACAGCCACAGATGGTCTTATTTTGATGCTTTGGTCACACTGTTACATAAAGAGGACAGAAGTAACTTAGGTTTTACTACAGATGAACTTATGACTTGGTAAGTTTTATTCTACTTGTTCTGTTTAAATTGAATTTTGTTTCTTAAGTATGTGACATGTTTAGAAAAATTTATAAAATTGCTATTAGCTCTTTTGATTATTAATATTTTATTTGTTTATAAAAATTCTAATAGCAAAATGAAAATAACCATTTATATAATAAGGATTTAATCCTCTCAGCTGTGAGATCTTTAGTTCAATATGACAATTTTCTTAATTTTTTTTTTGCTAATGACTCAATAATTATAATTGTTGGATTTTTTATTTAGTATATTTGTTTTTAGTATCCGCATCAGCCTGGTGGATGATTCTATGGTGATAAGAGCAGCGGGTTTGAGAGTTCTAAGATACTTGATCAAAACCGAGAGTGACATTGCTACATTTAATAATCTAAAATTGCCTTATCTTGTGACTAGGTAATATATATTTAATTAATTTTCTAAGAAAGTACTGCAATTATATGTTGGAAAAGTCAGCACTTTATATCAAAGAGTATAGAGTCATAAGTTTACATATCCTTAAAATTCTTTTTATCTAGACTTTAAAAAAATAACACAAATTTGTATTACTTTCATTACGTCTTCATTACAAATCTTCTGTACAAATTTTCCCATTAAGTAACTATTGTTAAATTATTTCAAAAAATTCTCATTTGTAAATTTGTAGATCAATGGATCTCATGCTACGGAATGAAGAAGAGCGTGCCCAAGCATTGAAAGTTGTCCGACGAGTGATTGCAGTTGTGGGAGCTATCGAACAGGGAACAAGGAAACATAGGGCTGCCTACATTGATCAAGGCCTGTTGAGATGCTTGGCAGCTGTAGCCAGGGCTGGCAGCGCTGGTGATGGGAGCGGGGACAGATTATCGAGGCCTGCTATTGCTACATTGGCGGAAATATGTATGTTATTAGAAAATTATTAGTGGACTATTCATATAAATCATATCATGTTTTTACAATTGTACTAGTTTCATTCTATATTTATTAACTTAAAGATTCTTATTTGGTTTAATGGTGTGTAGATACAAACTGTGATGCTCATTTCTTAATATAGTATATATTTATTGTAAGTTTGTATCAAATTATATTGTCATGAATATTATTTTGATGAAGAAAAGATGTGACTAGTGAATATTTCCAGGAACTTCTCAACGTAACTCTTACATTTCATACATCCATATATTTTTATTACTGAATTAGATTTTGATAGCTCATTTTTATTCATTTTATATACTAACTAGCTTTTGCCGCGACTTCGTCTGCTTGGAATAGTGACTTCCGGCAGATTTTTGGTTCTTCCCACATAGTTCCCGTTCTTGCGGGGTTTTCGGTCGAGCTCCCGTAGAATTTTCAGGATAAAACCTATGTTTTATTTAATTCACAATGAAGTACTCTTAAGCAACAACATATTTATTTGTTTATTTGAATAAAGATTAATATTATTATGTAGATACAACTTAAACAATTTATTACGACCAAATTAGGTACCAAAAAACGGTTTTTGTGAGTTAATCTTAAAAGATACACATATACTGTCGCGGACTGTTTTTTAGATCATTAAAAGAGCTATTATTCTTTAATACATATTGTTTGTGTATCTTGAACCGTTTTCACAGCGCACGCAACGGAAGGCTTCAAAGATGAAATAATTTCTCCCGTTTTTTACACATTTACCACTATATCTTTGCTCCTATGGGTCCTAACGTGATGTTATATAACCCACAGCCTTCTTTGATAACTGGACTATCCAACACAAAAAGAATTATTCAATTCGAACCAGTAGTTTCGGAGATTAGCGCTTTCAAACAAACAAACAAACTTTTCAGCTTTATAATATTAGTATAGATAAAACTTCATGTGGACAAAAAAATCTGAGTTACATACATTTATTATGTTCATAATTAAAGTTTAATTTTAGAAAAGGTACTTTAATACTGATATTTTAAAATTATATTTTCAGGTGTATTAAATCCAGAATTATTCATATCTTGTGGTGGGGTGACAGCTGTGACGCGGCAATTGGCGGAATGTGCAACGCCACGTATGGCCGAGGCGTTATGTGGTGTTTTATTACACACCCTCAATGATCCGAAGTCTCGTAAAGCGGCTAGGATTGACCTCACCTGTCTAAATTCACCCTACTGTGATTTTCATTTTAGACCTGCTGGCACTGATACTAGCAAGTATGTGTAGTTATTATATTGTATTATATAATTATCAAATTGATTTGCTTTTTTAAGAATACATAGTTCAAAATTAATTTTAGATTAAATCTCTTAAACACCTACCAAAATCCAAAGAGGTATTTTGAACAAGTTTGACTTAGTGTGTGACAATTTTTTCAACAGAGATGAGCGTGAAATGCGGTTCACTTGCAGTCGTCTGGCATTGCTGTGTGTGCTGCGCAGCTGGCCAGGGTTGTTACATTTCTGTCACCCTGCTAGCACGGGCGGGCTCAGCGCGTTGGTGGCAGCCCTGTATTTACCAAGGCTGGAGGTTCGAGTGAGTAGGGTAGGGAATTGGGGGGTAGGGAGGTCTGGAGGGTAGTTAATTTTATCAGTCAGTAGTAGCAATGTATTTGTTAATTCTGAAGAATCAAGTGATTAGGGTAGAGAAGGGGAAGAGATCTAGATTGTAATTTTTTTCCTTTTTTTTTTTTGCTATAGCCATATTCTCTTTATACAGGGTGACTGGTGAATTACTATCAATATTTAAGGAGAATACTCGGTACATGATTCTCATTCCAATTATGTAAAAAAAATAGGTACTTAATTTTTGACAAAATTTCCCTATAAATAAATAAAGTGTTGACACGTTCCAAGTGTTCAAGTGTGGACGCGTGCGGCGGCGTGCTGATACAACACCACGTCACGACACGCGTATGTGTGAGTGTCAGTGTATACCTAATCTGTAGGGTGTTCATACGATGCGTAATTAATTACACAACTTTTGGTTAACTTTACTTAGAAGTTTATTAATATTTATGTTATATTAATTTTTATTTTGTCATATATGATCGTCAAATATTACGTCCTCAAATATCGATAGTAATTCACCAGTCACCCTGTATTTAACAGATATTGATCAGATTATTTTATGTAGATGTGGTAAAAGTAACTGAGAAATTGTACAAATATAGCAGTTTTTTCTATTATGTTCTTTTTCTTTGTAAATACTTTACAGTTGTGCTATTAAATAATATAAATATATTTTTTCAGAAAGCCATATTGGACTTGTTGTATGAATTAGTGGGACTGCCTCAACCAGATTGGACAGATGAAATATCTGTTGCTTTAGATGCTGTAGATCCTTCTGATTTTCAAGTAAGTGCTAGTTTAATATTTGTACATTTAATTAATTTTTTAATTATATCTACTTGAATGAGAAAGTGAAAAGATATTTATTCAAAATGTTTGTCACACAAAACGAGATACTTAAAAGTGATATTGCTACTTTGGAATATTTACAATAATTAAATAACCTTTTTTGTTTTAGGACTCATGGCGTTTGAATCATGGTTTTGTATCTGCTGAAGGAATAGCAATTTTACCTCATCTTTGTGCCACCGGCCCTGATATAATAGAGATTCACTTAGCACTGTTATTACAATGTTTCCTGGAGGTAAATTAGTTTTACATACATTTTAACATAATAAATATTATGCTACAATTATAATTGGTTACCCATATAATATTCCAGGTTGGCCTCTTGGATGGATTGGTTGAAGTGATAGTAACAAGTGATACCTTTATATCTGTAAGGGCGACTGTATTACTAGGTCAACTCTTGCATTTAGTACACCTATTTCTACCTCCTCAAATATGTAGTATAACACCAGCCCTACCATCTTTGATATCTCAAGCATCCAATGGGAAGCCCCAGGCTCTAGCTGCGGTTGCTGCTCTGAGAAGATTACATTCTATGCACGAAGCCAGACCAGCCGCTAACAGTCTGTTCCTAGATCATATCATACAGTATTGCAGTGGGGCGTTCAGAACAAAAATTGAAGATACATCAAAGAGCAAAAAGGAGAAAGACAATGCTAGCATGGCTAAACCCAGAAATATAGCCGATGTTCCTAAAGACAGTATTGAATTTTTAAACGAATCTGATACAGAGTACGAACCAAAACAAAGGCATAGCGTCGGTTCGAGGGCAGATGTCGCCTCTAGGAATGTGAGTGCGCTCGTTAAAAGCAAAAGTGTGAGTTCAAGAACTAGCGCCGCTGTGAGTAAAGTAACTAAATCCGCAAAATTCTTCAGTCTTTTTGAACGTGATAGCGACAGCCTTATAAGATCGTCACTTGTTATGCAGAACAAAGATGGAAACACATGGAATTGGGAAATCATTAGAACCATACTAAAGGTGAGATCTCGTCAATTTATATAATAAATATGATATTTCTCTGTTATATATTTTTTTAAATTTATTTTTAGGAAACCGAAGGCACTCCTTTGTTGAATTTGAACGACAGCGGTCACAGAGCTTGGGCGAGTCGTATAATTAATTATTTGAAACCATCTGCTAACAAATATTCACATACGGATCTCTCGACGACCTGTAACGGACATTCGGCGACGCGAGCCGGTTGTCAGTTGATACGGCATCTGTTGCGACACAATGATGTAAATACATTTTTATTACTTAATATAAGAAAAAACAATGTAACAGCGCTCTATTCCACTGAAAGGCTAGTGTTTTCAGTCTAGGGTATATATAGGTATCATTGAATGTACTATTTATTGCCAAAAGTGGATTTCGTTATTGGGATTTATATGCTTAGATCACTCTATATATTATTTATATTTGGTTTTAGTAGTTTTTGAGTGGATTTTAGTTATAAATATATATAATTGTCTAGTTCAGACAGATGTATTATTTAAGTAACTAAGTATATCTTTAATAAATGTATCTTTTTTTACAGTCTGATTCGCAAAGAATGTTAGAGGAATTGTTTATGGACGTAAGTCGTCAGATAGAGGCCATAGAGACCGGTCGCAAGGCTCATGAATGTCTGTTCAGTCCGCAACACATGTGCAACACTATGTGCCAAATGTACTTCCTGTTTATTGGACAACTGTGCCATTCACACACCGGTCTTAGACTATTCAAACAAACAAAACTATATGAGAAGTGAGTTTGATTTTCTGTATATATTTTTATATTCACATTTCCAATTCAATTTATTTGTTATATAAATGAAACTAATATTTTCGAATTTACTACGCGATTTTTTATTTTTGACTATAAACTACATACTACCGACGTTTCGGCTACTATACAGCAACCGTGATTACGGGCAGACGAGAGACGAGATGACGGTTCACGTCGGGAGTATGTAGTTTATAATTTTAAAAAAATCGCGTAGTAAATCCGAAAATATTAGTTTCATCTAAATGAGTACTCGCGAAAATCTTAGATCTCATTATTTGTTATATGTTTGTTCTCCATGAACATATATAATTAAGCTCACTCATATTTTTCTAATTACTGATTACGTATTTTTTTCAGTCTCCTAGAATTATCTACTAAGACCCATCACAGCTGTTACGTTAAGTTAGTTATATCGAGTCTAGATTACACTATAGATTCATGTCCACGTGATATTCTTGCCAAGACGTTAACATGTAACATACAAGCATCAAGACTGTACACAACTCAGTTCCTAAACGTACTATTAAGAGCATCGCGGAAATCTAAAGATTTGGTCCGAAAGAAGTCGAAATTAAAGAAGGATATTATGCAAGATCATTACAAGTTCACTCATAGAGATGATAGTGTTGATAATGGCTTGGATATGGACTCCTGGGTACTGAAAATGTTAGTCGGTCAAGTTAAGGACGAATTTAAAGCAGTCGTTAAAACTGCTCTAACTATTCTCGAAGAAGCTTACAGTGTACCCGTAAGTATATTATACATCGAATTTACAAAGAATTCTTAACTTAATTACTTACTAATTAATTAAATAATAAAATAAATTAATTAATTAATACATATTATTTTATATATTTTTTCAGGTTTATTTGGAAAAATTAATGATGTTAAAGGACGCGCTAGCGCAAAATTGTCGCTTGGATAAATCCATTGAACCGTCAGCTATGGATTTCTCAGCAGTGGGCGACCGTGGATACTTACTGTGGTTGGGCCTTGAAGTCGCGTCCGCATCTCAAACAGCCGATGCAAGTGCTATAACATTCGTCAAAAAACATTTGGATTTTTGGAACAAATCCTACAATTACAGGTATGCTGATATAAATTGTCTTGTATTTTTTATATTAAATAACTTGTAATATTGTATTAGCAAGTAAATATATGCCTATAATTTAAAAACAATATTTGTTGGTAGTTTCATGTTATAGATAATTAATAATTAATAAAATCTTTTCCAGATACGTCCGCCTCGTAGAAGCGGTGGTACATGAAGCATTGACAGTGTCAGAGAGTTCGAGACGAGCCCGCAACGCACGTCGGTCAGCGCGTCCGCCGCCTCACCTGCTAGCCACGCTCGCCCACCTGTGTACCAACAAGAACGGTAACCCGCCATTCACGAAGGGACTGCTAGCCGCTGTTCTACCACCACACTATAAGGTCAGAAACGTGACAATATATATAATGATAACCCGCCTTTTAGTGAAGTTATATGCTACCACGCATCCAAAGAATAGTAAACTAGAAGTCAGTATGACGTAAGTATCAAATGTATGATCAAAACGATATGTATCGTGACGTCACGTTACCGATATAAAAGCTTATCCTGTCCCTTTTTCTAAGATAAATAATGTGGCCACAGAGTTACCAAAACGTTTGGCTCTCATTCATTTGCTAATATGCATTTATATTATAATTATGTACATGTTAATTTTGTAATAGGATAAATAATATTATAATTATAACAGATCCTACAAAAGAAACAGTGTGTGACGGAGCAAGAGATTGTTGATCTGAAAGCTTCTTTGTGGGCGGTTGGAAATGCAGCGGTAACTCCCCAAGGTCTACAGCAACTGATGAATTTGAGTAACGGCTTCCTCGAAGACTCAATACCGGTTCATATCGTGCGTCTCGCAAAATATAGTCCTGTGTACGCAGTGCGGGCGACCGCATTCTATGTCCTGGGACTAATCGGTAGCACCTTTGACGGAGCTAATCTTTTGCAAGAATTAGGTGAGAATAATTTAGTTACATATTTTTTTCATTTAATATAAATTTTAGTTGCTAAAAAACGTTACAAGAATTATATATTAAAGAGGCGGTAAGAGATCAAGAAAATAAGTGGGGCGTTTTGTGTGGGCCAATAAAGCTAACAGTAATTAATCAATATATGTAATTTGAAGTTGTAATGGTTTTGCAGTAGGTGAAATGGGGTCGCTAAATATATTTATTATCAAAGTGGGCAGTAGACAAAATAAGTTTAGTAACCCCTGGACTATAGCTATTATTATTATTTTCCAGGTTGGCTATGCGTCCGTCACACAAGACACGACCGATTCCCCGTCATCCCAGACGAGAATTACACTCAAGTGGTTGATCCGAACGACACTTCACTCTCCTTTATGACGTCACCGAACAAACGATTCAATTTCGACATAGACTTGAGCGAGCATTCAGACCACACAGACCAGAGTACGGCAGAGAGTCTGCACTCGGAAAATGTTAAACTAAACAGAACAATAGCATCAATAGATCAGACCGAGATCGATCAAGACGTGGTCGATCACAAACTTAGTTTGATCGAACGCCGTGAACCCGACAAAAGGAAGTCTCACACGCTGCCCTCACAAGGATCCACTTCACATGAACGAACATTAACTGAATCGAGGACTGTGGATATTCTAAGGGATTGTTCAGTGTATGAGAGGCCTCGCATGCATATGGACAGATTTGTAAAAATGAATTCCTTCGATCACACACAGGAGGGACGAGTTAGAAATACAAGCGAGTCGAGTACGAGCGGTGTTAGCAGTTGTGATTCGTTTCTAGGAAAACATGCGCTGCCGTAAGATGATGATTTTTACTATTTAAATTAATATACAATGCGATACGTCTGAATATTAAAAGCTCTTAATTAATTGTATACGTCGTATGAATTAGAACATTAATAGATTATTTAATAATGTTTTCTTTTTGGGATAGTTCTAAGATCAGGAATAATTCGTAGTATTACGTTTTCATATCTATCTACATTTATGAAGAAATCTATGGCCTATATGACTGGCAAGGAATTTTATTCATTTATATATGTAATGATCATAAATCTGTGCTTCTTTCAGCGAGCGTGTGGTGAAGCTAAGTCCTATTCCAAGTTCATCCAGTCTTCATGGTTTACGAGGATCCACTCGCACTAGACCCACCAGACGTACTTCCACATCCAGTAAGTACCAGTTTAGCCTTTATTAGTCTATATATGTAAAAATGCAATAAGGCTCAATTTCCCTTCTTTCTTATTAAATAACAAAATAACAGTTATTACATATAACGAACTTAAATACCTTCTAGCAAAGAGAGCCTTTTCACTCATAGGATTATAGTACCTTATTTACTAAGACTGACTGTCTGCTGTCAACAGGTTGTAATTCATTGACCGTTATAATTAGACCATTGAAATTCACATATAATATATTTATATAGTCTTTGACTCCTTACGCGAGTATGACTCGAACATGTTGTTTTTAAAAATGTTCTAAGTATTGTGAAATATGTTTTCAGGTTTTACTACTCCAGAAGCGGCTAGTTCACCGCCAACACAAATGGATATGAGTGGATATGCAACACTTCTATCATTAAATAAACATAGAAGGTATACTAAATTATATTATACATTTTAGCTTGTTTTCAGTGACAGAAAAATTGTTTCAAATAAATAGATATAAACGAAAATATTGTTAAGTCATGCATTTTACGCAATTTCATGGATTTTGTTTGTTGGAAGTTCCATATTCATATATATGTTTACATAACTGCTTTTGCCAATATTTAAACCCGCTAAAAACATAGCTTTTTTGACATCCTAACTAAAATTTAAACTAATTTCGTTAAGATCAATTCAGAAATTGGATGTTTAAATTTATATAAGCGATACTTGCATATTTCAATATATATCATGTTAAATTAATATTATATATTTCAGGCCGCATTACGTCTCAGAGAGTGAAGCTATGGGCGCCAATGATATCGACGTGTTAAACTGGCTCCCACTTGATTCTAATCAACAGCCTAAAGTATTTTCATCATTGCGTGATAGATCTAAATCAACTCGCGAAAGGATGACAAAATATAGGTATAATATATAAAATATATATAATAATAATATTTATATTTGGTTGAACTATGTACATTAATAACATTTAATTTATTAGCCTCTTAGAATACGATTGGAAGCCGTTAACTCAGAACGAAAGTTCGAGAATGGTTGCACCGACATCGTCAAATTTGAGGACAATGCCTTCAATGCCTAAAACGCCATATTACATGGGAATATGTCTGCCGAAGAATCTCATGGATCTATTCCCAATGTGAGTACATTGTAAACGACCTTGAAATTATGATATATAATGAAAAATATGCTGCTATGAAAAAATATTTACGATTGCTCTCTGTTTTAGTTTTTTTTTGGATAATTGGGTTTTTGAAAAAAAAAAAAGTATTGATTTTTTTTATGTATTTTAAAACTTTATTATTAATTATATTGGATTTTTAATGCAAAAAACTTGAAATATATTTTTTAAATTAATTATAAACAATTAAAAATTGATAAAATTCAAAAATATATCACGTGACTGTAAACGCGCCATGATTGGTCAGCATACTTGTGACGTCATAATGTTAAAGCAATTTCATAATAGTACAGTGTTTATGGCTATTATCTTTAACTTGATAAAAATATCTCAAATTTATTAGTGAAAAACGATTTGAAAAGTTTATTTCGACTATGTGTGATAAAGGATTTATAAAAGCAAAATCGGATAATATTCCTGATGTTAATATATTTTTATGATAACTAATTTTTTAAAAAGTGCGGTTTAATTTTGCTGAAGTTCGAGGTGCTAAGACATCAAGGTAAGTCTGTCAAAAAATACTATTCTAAATGAAAATTAGTATTTATTCTCTATTAAATATAATTAATAATTATTTCATTAAATCATTATTAATAAAATGTTATTATAACATTATAAAAAAACCAAAATAACATATATGTACTTTAAAAATTTAAATGTAGTCTGATACAGAACCTAGAATGTTATAAAATTATGAAAATATCTATTAATTGAAGTCCAATTATTAGACAAACATATATATAGATTTACTATTTAATCGCTTTGAATTATCAATTAAAATTTTTTAATGCTACGATTCTAAAGGTTATGATTTGGAGCCCAGGTAAAAAAATTAATTATTGAACTATACTTATTCGATTTATACACTTAGATAAATAATAATTAATAACAATACTATTATGAAAACTTACAACGAAATGATCTTCACAACAAAAAAAAAAATGATTTTGTTTTTGAATAATCTCGATGCACTGCTTGAAACCATTTCTTTCGACGTTTTTCGTCTTGTGGAACATTTAAAAACATTTTTTCAGGAGTTGTTTTTGTAGTCTTTGTACATAATGGTACAAAACTTTTGATTATTTAACAATGCCAACAGAATTTACTAGATAAAAACTCAAAACACTGTACTAATTATTATATCTCTGTATGCTACAATGAGTAAAAACTAACATTGTGACGTCACACGCGCTCGGGTTTATTCACGAGCTGTCGGCTTGTCTTCGGTACTGAATTTAAAATTTAATTTTTATTTTGAAATAACTTTTTAAATATTGCAAAAAAAAATAAAATAAAAATAGTTTTGTTATTAAACTTATATATGATCTTTCCATTTATCACAAAAAAAAAAAATAATTCAAAAACCCAATTGTTGAAACCGTATTAATAGCATACCATACTCTTAACATATTTACTGTAGGAAGTAATACTAATTTGGTGTTAATTAACAGGGAAAATGATGGCAACACCATGGAACCAGAAGAAAAAGTGGTTAATCCAGTGTCTTCTATAGTTGAGGACGGGTTGGCCAGTGACTTAAGAACGCGAACACCCGATTATTCGCTTGGACTAAATAAAGGTAAAATTGTAATAAAACTTCTATATCGTCAGTATATATAACTATATTATATACTAGCTTTCAGCCTGCAGCTTCGCTCGCGTGGAGTTCGGTTATATCGCGTTTCCAAGAGAACCTTTCAAAAGTCTAGGATAAAAAATATCCTATGTTCTTTCTCAAGGTCAACTCTATCTCTGTACTAATTTTCATTAAAATCAGTTCTGAGGTTTAGGCGTGAAAGCGTAACAGACAAACAGAGTTACTTTCGCATTTATAATATTAGTAGGGATATGTGTATTTTGACTCAAATAAAATTACTTTTTCGCCTACAACACACTCAATTCCCTATTGAAAACTGATTAATTTATATGATTACCTTGTATTAATTATCTACACATTTTAATAATACATATATTTTTATCTTTGAATAGGAACGAGTATTCACACATCAAGTACGTCGACAGGCAACACTCAAACTGAAATCGAAGCTAGCAAGGTTGAGAGTGAAATTAAAACAGATGATAGAAGCAAGTCAGATATAATCACAGATAAGAGAGAAGTCAGGGACGATAATATGTATGGCAGGGTCGGGAAAGTTGGTAAATGGAGGCATATAGCGTCTGACTGTCTGGCCTGTGTTAAAACGAGACCGCCCTCATCTCACGAACTAAGAGAGGCTTTCTTTGCTGGTGAGTTTTTTATCGCTGCTTTCTTTAAGCCCTACTTTTTATGCTTCTTAAAAATACGTAATGTCAAAACTAAGTTGTATACAGAAAATATTGTGTATGTGTGTGTGTAAAAACTATTAGGTAAATGAGTTTCTTACACCGGTATGAGTTTTTATTACGGTCCTATGAGCGACATTATTCTAGCAATTTAGTTATTAGAGCGACCTTGAAATGTTGTATTCGGATTTCGCACATACAGCTGTTCACAGACTAGTAGTATAAACAAAGAAATTGGTTTTTGAATATTGTATATCAACTACACTAAGCGATATTTAAACATTTTTTTATGTAGAGTGATTCGTGTTGTGTTTATATTATTTTCGTAGTCATAGAATTCAGTAAATATTCCATAATTTAATCTAAATTCAATATAAAAAAATACGCTCTTTAATTTTCAGAGTTAGAAAGTCCAGCGGGTCCATCGTCACCTGTGGGATCTACTCCTCAAGCACTTCTGTTACACAATGTCTTGTTTATGGCTAACCCCATACACTTGAGACAGGTTAGTAAACGAATTAAATCCTATCAGAGATATAGTATGTTACTAAAAATCGGAAATATAACTAGATTGTATATTAAATATCCCGAAAAAATATAACGCGCATTTGAAAAATTTATTTGTAATGATAGTTTTAGCAACAAGCTTTGAATCGAAAATAAAAATTAATCGTACATGCATCAGTGAAAAAATATTATTTTTTTCGTATGATATACATAGTTATTTTTCAAGGAATACGAAACATGTATATAATGTATTATATTGTTGGATAATTTTAGTTTTTCGGCTGTTCTTTTTATCAAATTTTCAAATTGCACTAAAATGTTATGACAAAAAAAAGACTTACGTCTCCAAAAAGTATTGGTTGTTTAAATCAATATACTTACTTCACTTTTAATAAACAGTCAATAATATAAAAATGGTATACTTTTCAGACGCGGTCTTCTTTGCTTTCCTTGAAGCAGCGTCATCCAGATGTATTTCGCAGTCCATGCGTGTACTCAGATGTATGTGCTTTGCTCGCTCGAGACACATACATGTTGTGCGCGAGACGATTCCTCCAAGAATTGTTTCTGGATACTAACTTCGACTGTTTCAGAGACGAACCAGCCGCCATACTAGCAAGACATAACCACAATACGGAATAGCTTCTGCATATGTTGTGTAACTGTGCATCTCATGTTGCTTACTGTACTCGGTTTCAACAAAAGCATATAGGTTCTTAATTTATTTAAACTTGTGTTTCTAGATAAATGTCTCTATTGTTAGACATGCAGTCATCTTATATATTTTCTTAAAGCATTTTCGTGTGACTCGCTTGTATTCAGAAAAAACATAGATGATACAATTGTTTCATTGAAATGAAAATATTTGACTTAAGGTACACATGATATTGAAAATAGAGAAAATTGTATAATACTTATATATGATCATAAGTCTCAGAATAATAAATAAGACATAGACAAGAGAAATAAAATGTAATAAAAGAATGACATCAAAGTGTGGGTAATGTTTAAAATTTACTTGTTAGAACAAAACAATTTTTTATCAATCTGTTTATTTACTATGTATTAATTTTCTATCGAAATTAGCCATAATTTAAAGCGATCAAAACAAATTGTGAAGAAATATTAAGTTCTTTGATAAGTGAAACCAATTTTTTCAATTATTCTTAATCTAGAGTTGTCCAAAAAAAATTTAAATACAAAAAGTACATTATTTTGCCAAAGCAATAATTTTTACAATGACAATAGTCTATTGCGTAAGTAACACAATGTAAGAATACACTAATATTGATTTGTCCTATATTGTTGAATAATATTACTGTAGTATTAATTATTATTTATTCAACATTTTAAGTTACTTATATTAAACACTTGAGTAATGTATGAACTACTGTAATTTAATCTTAAAATGTGATCTGAATTAAAATATTGCAATAAACAACCAAATAAATTATGAAATTAATTAGTAAATAACATAACTTCCGTGTTTACTTTTCGGCACGTCATTATAAACTTGGGAGTTTTATTACAAATTTGATGTTTTAATTATTTTTCTGAGACAATGATAGTAATTTACAAAATACATAATCTATTTTCCGTGAGTCAAATGTAACTTATATATGCTGTAATAATAAAACCGTTTGTTATAAGTCAAATTAACTTGTATACTTTAATATTTAACAGTCATGAATATGTTCCTTTAAAAATAGGCAATATTATAGACTAGACCTTCATACTATTTATGTAATAATGTTTTGTATAGTAACTACACAGTGAATAGTGGATATATAATAGTTGTGTTATTTAATATATATGAAATATCAACATTCCTCATACAAAATCATAATGTGCTTCTCGAAATATATAAATCTGACAATAGTTTTAAAATAACAATAGGTGGCTAAAGGTAAAAAAAAATATCCAATGAATTTATTATATATGTAGGCATGTAAAATTAAATGAGCTGTAGTATAAATAATTGGATTTTTCTATTATCATGTCCTGAAATCTCTTTTTTATGGGATGTTATTTTTTCGTAACATGATATAACAGTACATAATTACTTTTACATTGCAAATAAATATAGAAAATATTTTTGTTCCTCCACATTTAAAATGGTCAATTATTATTTGTGAACATTTTGATTTAATGATTGATGTATATTTTTCATATAATTAAATATTTGGTACTGTAGTAAATACTTTGAGCCTTGTCTTAGTGTTAAGTCATACTTAAGAATAATTGAATGTTGATGATTTGTATTCTGTCGTATCTGTATTGCTAATTTATTTGGTTTTCCTGAACCACTGCCCGTAAATAAATTATTCACTGCCTATAAGTAATATAAATTTTCATAGAACTAATAATATGTTAATAAGCTTTTTATTTATTTGTTTTTACCTTAAACAAATTAAACATTTCAATATATTCCGTATTATATGTGTAAGATTTTTAAACAATTAGTTTGACCTCCTTTTCTAGTGATATATCCCACCTGTAGAAAAATAGTTGTGACTCCCATTATATACAAAATAAAAATATATTTTCACCATTGTGTTCAAACCTTAAAATCTGGTAATTGCATTTATTTAAATTGTTCTTTGTCTATAGTTGTTGTACTACAAAACAGTTTATGTTGTTATATTTATTACAGAACATATAAAATAATGTAATTATATAGCTGGGTGTCATTTATTTATTATACATTGTTATGTAAAATATTGTTAATGTCTCAAGGTAGGTTAAGTTACCCATACATTTAGTTGTTTGTGTTATTTAAGATCTTCAAAGATATATAACAGTATTCCTATAACCATTTAGTTGATATCTGTTTAAGTTGTATCGACGTTTGCATTTATACTCCAATAAATTAAGATGTTTTGTTTCTTCTTTTCTTGTAGGTATTATTTAAATAAAAATTTGAGTTGTAATCAGTTGTTCCGTCATGACACTTTGTTCAATTTAAAGACAAACATTATATATTTTTTTAATTCTATAGATTATAAATTAACAGAACCGGGAGTCCCTTGTCATTGGTATTAATATTAATTAAATATGTTCATATAAAAGCATCTAGGTAAATAAACAAAATGTTGTGCCATTGAGTGGGTTCCTTGAATATCATAACATTTATAAAATTCTTTATTAATATAATTAACATGTAACAGACGTTTTGCATTCATTATTCAATATAATCATTATATAATTTTATACAACATGTTCTTTTTTTTTGTTCCTAAGCAACATTTACCCTCGGACACTTTATATCTTTATATTCTTGGGGAATTATATGACTAGGCTCTGACCGAAAAGTATCTTGAATATTAAAAATATAAGACTTTATTTAAAACTTTAAAAAAAATAATTTGAAATATTTTAGAATAATTAAAGCAATTAAAAGGTCAGAGTTTATTGTTTTGTTTTGCGGTGTTATTAAACTGCATATCTTATTTGAAATAAAATATATTTCGTATATACAATTACATTAAAATATACTTTGGGTCTCTTCAGGAAAATGATCAATAGGCTGATAGTGAGACGAATGCGCTCACCACTCAAGTACTTCATTTCTACCTTTCAAGGGGTTCAAGATAGCACTATCCAGTCAGAATTTATAAAAAAAAGCCAAACATGCATTCATTTTTATTTGTTTACTTTTGGAGACCCTTTTGTATCCTTATGGATGGAGTTAGTAAAAATCGGAAACCGCTTTATTTGTACATAGTAATATTGAAATGACGTAATTTTAATATCATATAAAATCTGGATTACTTTTTTGTCGTTGTTGAAATAAAAAAAAGATATGATGAGTATCGTCCACCTATTTAAAATAATTTGTATAGATTATTTTCAGGTATAATGGTGAAAAGGACTAAATAAATAAACATATTAATAATAATATTATGGCTATTCTATTTGAGCGCACGTATAGTTTTCTCCAGGTCACAGCACTATTTTTTGTCAGAATATTTGACATTCGATAAATGTCAATTGTCAATCGAATCAAAATTATATTTTCATAACAAAATAATAATTTAACAGAAATCATAACTTTAAAATATACCTTGTAATCACATTTTGAAAGTTAAGAATTTAAATAGATATTTAATATTACAATCTTAAGAAGAAACGAATCATGGATTTATCGGATAATGAAGGGCTTTCAGAAGATATTAACGAATTAGAAGGCTGGACTAAGCAGGAAAAATTTAATTTATTGCAAGCAATTAAAGAGAACGGGTCACAGTATACACAGTTGATTAGTAATTTTATTCCAACAAAAAGTGAAGAGGAAATAAAAATGGCTATAAGTTATTATAAGAAAAAAGCTCTAGCGCATCCTACGAAATGGATCCAAAAAAATATTCGTAGAGCAAATAATCTACCAGTGATACCTTTAAGTGTATGGGCTAAAAATATTATAGATACTCATAGCTTTGAAAGTCTTGGTACTGAGACTGCAGCTGCTCTTCGTTTAATAGCCCAATATGAAGATAGACCTGCATCTGTTTGTACAGCCAATGTAGATTTCAAAAAAGCATATACTATACTCGCCGACGCGTTAGAAGGTAAAACTATACCACATGACCGTTATATATTGCCTATTTTTGAAAAATGTATTCTTGAAACGGCACTTACCAGCAAAGCATACATGAAAAGTAGTGCATTCAAACAAGTTATACAGTCAATTAATAATAACAGTCAAGAGGTGAACTTGTTTAAAGTGCCTGATGAAGACAATGAACTTATTGCTTTGCGGCATTTAGCATGTCAAATAAGTTATAATCCATTAAATATACCTGAAAAATATTTAAAATCTTCTGTGTATAATTAAATGAAACTTTTGGATTTAAAGAAAAAATGTGTTTAAGACAAATTCCATGCTGTTTATTTAAAAAAAAACTCAAGAATTCAGCCACTCAATAAACTTATTGAATATTTTCATTGCTATTTTCACTACTCTATCCCAAAAACCAGGTTCCTCTTCCATTCCAGGTGACAGTGGTGGTGCAAATTCATCATCATTTTCTAAATCTTCTAGTTCCCGTTTTGCTCTTAAATCATTATTTTTAAATGTGTCAGTCACTGAAATTAAAAAAGTTTGAATTGTCTTAAACAAAAAATAAAAATGGGATATAATGTAAAAAAAAAGTTTTAATTAATTTCAATAATAATTTGGATTTCAATCATCCATTTGTTTGTAACTACTTCAGAAATTCTTTTGAAACTCACCAGGACTATCAAGTGAAATCTGTAAAAAAACGGATTTATGACCACTTTATTTACATTTTACAAATAAATTTAATTGCATCATACCTGATAACAAGATGCATATGATATAATAAAGATTAACACTGTTATTAGAACTACTACAAGATTGTTGCGTTTCATGGCTCCGGGGACAATTATGTTTCTCGTGACTTTGAACTTCATTATATATGGAGGCGTGGCATTCACTGGATACAGCGGAAACCGTGACTGGTAATCATTGATGCTTCAGCAAATACAAATGAATTGGTTTTTTCCACATCTTTTATAACAATAGTTGTGCTATCAACATTTAACAACTATTTATTGTAATTAAAAAAGACTACCTTTAGGAAATTACTATAAATAAATACTATTAAGAAATATTTTATTTTCTGCTCAGACGTTAACTCATACAACATAAGAAAATGTTTTGTAGAACTTGTTTAGTTTCAAATTCTGATAGAAATCATATTTTATAAGCAGATTCAGTCCCAAAACCTAGTGTATTCATTATATTGACGGTTAATTTTTAAATTAGAACTATTTTTTATAAAACGTTGCATGTAATGGGTAGAACAAGTGTGTACTCGTATCACAGTGACCTTAGTTCCGCATGATAACGGACATATAATAAGTTCGTCGAAGTTACAATAGACTGTATAACTTGTTGATTGTGCTATATACCTAAGTTATAAATACATACATCATTTTTAATGTCATGAATATATTATATTGCAATGATATATTTGAAATAAAACCGAATCGAACGCTTGAAAGATATTTCTTTCAGGGAAGGTTTAACCAGATATAATAAGCCAGTGGTGGTTAAAGGGCCCGCCTCTCGTTGCCGAGGGCGCGGGTTCGATCCTGGCAAGTACCAATGTGATTTTTCCGAGTCATATGTACCTACTTTTTAAGAGTATTTAGACACCACTGACAGACAGTGAAGGAAAACGTCGTAAGGAAAACTAGACTTATAATTTCACAATAATAAGTTTGAAATCACCAACCCGTCTTGAGAAAGTGTGGTGATTAATGCTCAAACCTTCTCTATTTGAGATAGAAGCCTTTGCTCAGCAGTGGGCTCTGATAGGCTGATGATGATGAACCAGATATAATTACTTCTTATAGTATATGTTTATTAATAAAAAACATGAAATATTTTTATTGTATATTATTAAAAATTACAGCTAGATGAGAACACAAAACTACTTTTTGGATGCCCCGAAGCCAGAAAATCCCATAATTTGGGCTAATTCAGATTGAGCGGGACCATCTTCTATTTCTTCAGTTTCTTGTAACTTGCGTTTCTTGTCCCTTCTTCGCTCACGACGCAATTCCTTCAGCCTGGCTTCCTCTTCGGCAGCTTCTTTCAACCTCGTGTCAAGTTCATATTCACTCTTCTTCTCTTCCAATTTACGCTTGTTTAGTGCAAATCTCGCCTTTACCTGAAACATGAAAAATGTGACATTTAAAATGTATGAATAAAAAAAATCCTTTTAATACAAAGATTTCTTTCTAGTTCTGATTAAAGACATTTCATATATGTATTTACTATTAAGTAAATGTTTTTTTTAACAGAGTATGAAAAAAGAAAATTGTTTTATATATTATACATATATATGATTCTGCTTAAACACTTTGCAATCATCACCTGATATTGAAAATGTACTTGATAAAATACATACAACATACAAAATTAATGGTAAAATACAGTTGCACTTTGGTAAAAATTAAATTAGTTGTTTCTAATATGAAAAAGGTTTTAAGTGTTTAGATGTCTGATTAATTTCCAGTATTTAATACACCCAACAAGTTTTCTTTACTAATTGAAAATAAATTTTAAGAATGGGCATGAATTACACCAATACATACTCATCTATGTTGCATGGTAAAAAAAGTAACTGTGGAAGTTACATAAAATGTTTTTAAACATATATACTATCAGAAGTTAGACCTTCAATTACATTTCTATTTCTCTGTTCAGTAACAATTATTTTCTACAATAATACAGTGGATTCCCAGTAGTTCCAATAACATTTTGCAGGGTACTGTCAAACTATCCAATTTGTTGGATTATAAAATATTGCTGAAGACCTCCTATAGTCCAAATTTATTTACAATATAGTACCTTATAATCCAACAAATAACAAATCCAATGGTAAGATTACAAAATGTAAAACATAATGAATAAACAGTAAACAATGCACACATGTTAGGTTGCATCACTATTCTCTCATATGTATGGAATCAAACTAAGCATTCAGAATCAAAACAATATGCATCAAGCACAATAGAGGGGTTGAATATAAGTTGTAACTTGTTAAATTGTGAATTAGCGAATACATGTATGTAAAAGACAATGCTGGATTATAGGGCATGCCGGATTAGCCAGGGACCAGATTACCGAGGCTCCACTGTAATTGACAAAAGTTGTGGTCTATAAGAAGACTTTTCAGTCATTATATAGATTTTTTTAATGGCAATGTTATTTACTGCTTACAATCTTTCATATAATCTTAATATTTTTTGAAGGCAATATAACTTAAGAGTCTTAAGTTATTAGGTAAAAGCAAGGCAAGCTACAATAAAGAACATTGGATATGTAATTTACCTGTTCTAAGCTACTTCTCTCTATTTTCATGGACATGCCAAGATTTCTTTGATGTTTTTTGCCATTGATATGGTCCAAGAAATTAATTGAATCCTTAACCACACAATCACAGACATTACAATAGTATCCTCCAGATTGTGAGGTGGGGGTGTTTTTAGTGATAACCACACTCTTTCCCAATTTAGAATCCAAATCAACTTTGTATTCTCGTTGTTTAAGAAGTTCTCTTTTGACTGGTGCAGCTATAATAAAGAACATTCGATTAATATGTGATCTCAAACAAACAATATTTACACAAGTAATTGTATACATCTCCAGATTCTTACGTTTCTTTTTAGCATTTTCTTCCTCGTCTAATTCAGCCTGTAATCTTTCAAATGCGATTCTCTCAAATTCCTCCTTGTCCCATTTTCGTCGATGATCATCTGGCCTCATACTCATGGTGGCCGTGGATATCTTCACAACTCTTTAGTAAATAATATTATTTCAATAGTCTATTATTATAATTACCCTATTAGCGATAAATACTGATCCTGTTTATTGTTTGTCTAGCAAAAGTTCGACAATAGTAATTCGTAATATTTTTACCATAAACTTCAAAGTGACATATGTCAGTCAATAAATTTGGAAGCAGTTGGAACGTAGGCATTTGGCCTAGACATTAGAGGTTTTCAGCAAATACGATTTCTAAAGCATTCTTAAAGATAAAATTTAATATTGATAATTTTGGGTGTTTATCGATATTTTAATAATTTTGTTACCAAAATGAAGTTATCAGATTATGGGTATGACCGTGGTTGACCATGTTTTGACACTGGATTTGTAGGTTTTGTAGCGGGGTTAACGAAACCTTGGAGCCTTTCAGAAGTGTTCTGGTTCTATGTAGTTTGTCAACTCTTAGCGGCATTTATTAGACCTAGATACACATTGACTGAAAAGAAAATAAAATTTTGGTTATTCATTTTCAGTAAATTATAACTCAATAAAAAAATCGGTATTTAGTCTGTATGAGCTAAAAATACTGTTAATCGACGTTATCTTTATTATTTAAAACTACTTAAAGTGTCTTTAGGGGCTGTCCATTAATCACGTGAGGCTTGAAAGGGGGGGAAGGGTTTGATAAAAATCACGAAAATAACACAAGGGGGAGGGGGGGGTGTAGTAAGATATCTCGTGTATTTATTTTTCGTCTAACGCGCGATTTTTAAACAAATATTAATTTATTATGGTCCTTAATTTCAGAATAAAATAAGATTATAGTTTATACCTGTATTTAAATTAAGATAATATTCAGAAAATTTTAAGATTCGTTGTAGGTACTAAAAATACACGTGATGTTGAGAAGGGGGAGAGGGGGTGGTCTTAAACCTCACTACGTATCACCAATGAGGGCGGGGGGGTTAAAAAATGCTAAAAAAAGATCACGTGATTAATGGACAACCCCTTATGTGATCTTAAGTACTTTGTGAATGTAGTTTTAGATTTAAATTGCTCATATTTTTTATTCACGTACACATAACTGATGGCACCTACTTTAAATATTATCATAATAGTCCGGTCAAATTAGACATTCGAGGTTACATAAATTCGCAACTAGCTGAATTTTGGCACAATTGTTCAAAACACGATTATAAACAATAGCTGAAAGTTCCCCATCATACTTACCGTTAATAAAATATAAAACTTAAGCTTAAACTTAAAAAAATATAAAACTAAAAAAATATAAAATTAAACTTAAAAAAATATAAAACTTACCGTTTTGTTGAAAATCGCGAAAAACTCATTTTTTGACATTTGACCTTGAATAAAAAAATTTCCACACACGGGAATGATGGGGGACTTTTAGCTATTGTTTATAATCGTGTTTTGAACAATTGTACCAAAATTCAAGTTGTTGCGAATTTATGTAATTTCACCCTAATTTTTGGTCTAATTTGACCGGACTAAATAGTAGACTAAGTAGGTATAGTAAAATTTTGTCATTAAGCACATTGCACAAAAATTTGTTAATGATTTATGGATTAACATGTATTGGTGCCATATTCTGTATTTAATTTAATTCTACGCGATTCCACTGGCTGGATAAAGATATAGAATTACGAAGAGATAATACGACGATCAAAACTATAAAAAATTATGTCACAAAAACTTAGTGTCTAAAAAATCGATTAGATATTAAGCAAATATTATTGTTACTAAATCTGGTTCATTGTTATGTTAATAAAGTTCAGAACAGTATTAGTAGCAGTGGCATGTCGTCGACATAATTTGTCGACTTGTACCTTGTCACGGACACTCTCGTGGAGCGTGTAACGATACATCTCATACAAGATTACAAAACAATGCTACAGTTATATTAAAATATTTATTAAGAATAGAATAGTATTATTATCATGTATATACATATGTAATAGTTCCACCCCATATTTGTGATAAAAATATTGTAAAAATTGGAGTTATCCGTCAAGTTTTGTGCCAGTATTTTTATATATTTTTTTTGTGTTAACTTTTTTTTTATTTCATGTTTTAATTCTGATTGTTAAAATAATAGAGTTTTAAATGAAATAAAAAGAGAACCATGCCATTTTCAACTAATCGTTAAATGAATTTAAGTCTCAACTCTCAGCCAATTCTTGAACAACGTTATAAAAATAACAAAATTGTTAATTTATTTATTTATTTTCAATCTATTGGAGTTTGAATTTAGGATTTTGACATTGAATTTTTCAATATAACCATCCGTGATCAGATACGTTCATCTATTATTTATGGAATTTTAGAAATCGATAGTGTTGGTGTATTATTAATATATGAACAGGTCGGGAGTCAGGACTCCCTTGATATAGATCATATTGTATATGTATTTTCTAAAACCTATTCCTACCCCTGAATCGTATTAATCATATTTGTATTGATAGGCTAGTTACATTATCAAAACTTATGAAAGTATTCATTTAAATGAAAGTAATATATTTCGGATTATAATACTTTCGGTTACTTTTCAGCGGCCGTGATCAGGGGCAGACGAGATGTGAATTAATCACACGTATCTATGTAGTTTTAGAATAATAAAATAACGCGTATTCCGAAAAATATTAGTTTCATCTAAATTAATACTTGTGAAAGTCTTAGATATCAACATTTACGTAAATATATGTTTTTCTCTATTTAAGACATAAAATATTGTTCTGAAACGATTTAAATGCCGGCATCAATATTCATAAATTTAAATTCCTAACTTTGAAGGAAATCTTTCCAAGTGATCTCTTTTGGAACAGTCATGATAAAATTTCAGTTTGAAATTGATCCTTTTATTATGTACTATTAAGTGAGATGGCAAGTTTTATTTGGTGCACTAACTAGTCTAATTTTTACCAAAATACATGAATAGAACTAAATTAAGCTCAGCGGAATAGCCCCGATAATTACCAACGACAACAATCGAACGCCTGATTACGAAATGGGGCTTATAAATAACCATAATTGTGTTTTTATCAGAACAAATCTTTATTCTATAAATACTTTTTATAATAATAAAGATTACCAAACTAACAAAAATAACTGACAGATATAAAGATTAAGTTTAATTGCTTGGAAATTGGTTTAACGATATAAAAATAGAATTCTTAATAAAAAATGTATTACATATTTAATTTTAGTCCAACTTGTTGAAGTAAAGCATAATTTTGATTGTGCTTTGATTCCGATTTTTGAGGATGTGATTTTTATCTTAAAGATTTAGAATTAATTATATTAATACTTATCTTGATTGAGTAAATAAAGGTCGTGGCAATGAGTGTTATGAATGAAAATTTAGGTAGCATTTAAACTAGGTTTTAAATCTTTACCTACAGTCATTTAAATATCTGTTTGACTGTATTTTAAAATTCTTGTTCTGTAAGGTTCCTTGGGCTGAAAGTAGTTTTTATATAATTTAAACAACGTAAAGTATAAGTAGAACATTTAATATGTAAAAAAAGTATGCGTAAATATGGATTTGTTGGGTTGTTGTTGTTTTAATGAGTTACAAACTAATTTGCACATGGATGCTATTACTTTCAGTGTATCATCTTCAGCCATGTGAGGTATCTGCTGGACTTAGGTCTCTCTCATCGAATATATTTTTATACATGGTATTTATTTTACATTTATTACAAAATTCTTTCATGAAACAAAATATCTGTAGCTTATATTACCATAAAATAATAACATAGTAATTTTTAAAGAGGTCGTAATAAAATGTATTTTATTTAGTGTATTGAAAATTTAAACAGCTGAATAATTTCACAACTAGCATATTTGAATCATTTTTTTTATTATTAAGGGCTGCCATGCATTATATACAAAAGGCCTAATTTTATGTTCATATTTCATAATACTTTTAGACCACACATGAGCTAACTTGGTAAGCGGAAATATAAAGAAGAAAAATACATTTTCTACTATTTCAATTATTATAATCAGATGACTTGTTCACATTAAAATTAAATATGATAAATTGATAACGAATCATTTAATCTTTCATCATTAGGTACCTAATTTGACATGGCTTACGGTGGAACAACATGTCCTTTACAACTATAAAAAAATTTTTGCTCATGTTTTGTTTTCGCAAATATTATTTATAGCTTATCTGTGGATCTAGCTCAAGATGTTTTACGAGTATTTCCAGCCTTAAGCGATTCTTCTTCCTGATAACATTTCACTCCTCATTGTTATTATGTTTCATGTTCAACGCTTATAAGAATATTTTATTAACATCACATTTAATAAAGAATAAAATAAATAAATTAATATTATTTTTTATGTGAAAGGTGTCAAACGATCAGACGACCTTCTTGATGGGTAGTATGTAGTTACTGTTGCCCATGGACATTCGCAAAGTCTCTGTTTTTAAGGAAAAGGGGTGGGAATCAGGAAATAGAAGGAAAAAGTGGGAACAGAGAAAAGGCAACCGGCTCTCTCACTCATCGGACGAAACGCAGTTGTTAATGACTATTCATCCTTAATTTATTGATACGTTGAATTAAATTGTTAAAAGTATAATTAATTATTTGATATAGCATTTGAATGTATGTATGTATGTATGTATGCATGAATTTGTGTATGTATATATGATAATAATTATTATTTAATATACATTTAACGTTTATAACATGTGACACCACCCTTCTCTGAAATCACGACTGTGTTCCTAAGCCCATAAGGTTGTCTGGTAGAAATCGCTACCTAGCGATAAGACCGCCTTATTTCTATGCTATTTTGGTGTACAATAAAGTAAATTACGTTTGGTGGCAGCGAAGGATGCAAGAAAAATCCGTTTTACTTATAAAATATATTCAATTACCAATTAAAACTTAAATTTAACTACTAGCTAGGGCGGGGTCTTTAAGTCAGCGATTGACTTAAGACCCATTCTATAATTAAATCTTATAACTAAC